CATCCCAGACCCTTGAGAGCTGAACCACCTTCCTGCAAGTTAACACTCGCAGTGCTTTCTGCCTTTGCAGCGTCTAGTGAAGTGGCTAAATGCCCGCCCACCTTACTGCAGAGATCTCCTGCCTCTCTGATGAACATACCTCAGGCCTGTCCAATCAACAATGACACTGACATTACATGTCTCCTCATACTTTTCCCATTTACATTACACTAAAAGTTTTCATGTCGGTCTTGCAAATTGTTTGCTGCTGTATTTCCCTAGAAGTTTCTAGAGACCTGCTGCTAATCATAGGCCACATCTCTTCTACTGTCATCAGAATCACTTCATTTCTTCATATACAGTGTTCAAAGTAAAATAAAATCATTGGTTTATTAAAACTGTACATGTAACAGTTCAAGAACCTCCTCTATGCTTGCATACTGCTTCACCTTTGATTATTGCAGCTACTCATATGGAGCAAAACCCTTTGCTAAACACAACAAACCTATATACAAAAATTACAAAATAAATTAATGCATACAAATCCATAGAGATGCATGTAATGAATTAAATCTGTTTGCTGCCCAGATTTGGGGTTCCTTGAAGAATTTTTATTTAATTAATATTTTTGGTTAATGTTTTTATACATTATTTGACTGGAGTTCCTGCTTAGGAAAAGGCTGTGTGGAGAACAGAGTGCTTCACGTCACATTAATAACATACTTCCCCCCTACTCTCTCAGGAGCAGCTGGAAAAATCTGCCTCCAAATTTCTTTGGCAAAAAAAGATGAATCAAAGCAAATGAAAAAAAGGGGAAGCAGGAGCTGATCTCAGCAAACTCACTCGTGTTCCAAAGTGTACACAGCTTGGCAGAGAACATACACTCTATTATCACTTATTTTTTATTACAACCTCACCGGGGCTAATGAAGACACAGTGCCCAAAGGTGATGAATGAGGAGAAACAGACTTTCTATGTACAACTGCATAAATCAGAGGTGAAAAATATATCCCATACAGACTGAGATTTTTCATTAAACGATGTTTTCAAAACTATTCAGTGCAGTATCTATATCTTGCTTGTTTAAACGTTCCCAGGAATTTTGGCAGCTCTCCACGATTACATTTCCTTTGCAGGTAGCCTAAATTCAGCCAGCTCTTAGTAAATATATCTCATCTGCCTTTGCTTTATGGGCACACTTCAGCCTTCCTAGAAAAGGCTTTGGGCCATCGTGTCTGCCAAACGCTGGCTGCAGGGCTCTGTCTGAAGGGCAGATGAAAGGGGTGGGGGCAGCCAGCCAAGGCACAAGAGCACGAAGACCCATCCACGGGGCTGGAAAATGAGCTCAGAAGTGTTCACTTAAAGATCTTCCTCTCAAGCATACCAGCTGGCCTGCTTCTTCAAAGCTGGCAGTGGCTTCATGGTTACTTCTGCACAGCCATGTGAACACAGCCAGAGAGAACATCTTTTACAAGGAATTTGAGTTCTCCATAAAACCACTACAAAAGAACTAGTTAATATTAAAATTATTACAATGAACCTGCTAGGTCTTCATATACGCAGACACAGAGCTTTAGCACACATCACATCCTGCAGAAAATGCCTTTGATGTCATATATGAATAAACTCAATGAATACAAAAATGGTCAAGGACAAGTAGAATTTCAAAATTCTCATGGTTACAGATTATGCAAACCCATCATTATGACTTCCATCTTATCTTCAATTTCCTGAAAAAGTTATAACTTTTAACAAGCAATATTCCAAGATTTGTTAAAGCCAGAGTAATCCATAATCAAGTAGACTGTACACTGGAGGCAGTGAATGTGATGAATTTTAGTAGAATTTCTATGGATGAGGTTCTAGTATTTTACTATATTTCAAGAACAGCTGAAAAGATTTCAGAATATAAGCATTTTCTTTGGACACCTCCAGCTTATTGGACTGAAATAGGGGTTTGGGAAAAGAAAGATGAATATCAAAATTGTTCTAAGTTTGGAATCTTATGACCAAGCATAATCAAGTATGAATTGTCACTATAAATGGAAAATGGGGAAAGAAAAATGCCTCTGAGTCTTCAACTAATGGTCCTTAAAGGCTTTTTAACAATACTATTTGGACAGCAGTGCAGGAAGTGAGAAACTCTGCACCTTGAATTCATATAATTCTATTGTCTCGCTTCATTTGAGATTAAGGCAGTCTTCACTGTCAAAAGTCCTTGTGTCCTCTTGCCATAACCTGATTAAACAAAGACATATTTAATGCTCAGCCATATTTAATATTTAATGTTTAAGAAAATGTGGATCAGCAACCCTAAAAGTCAACTCTCTCATTATCTTGGCTCCCTCTTAAACAGAGTTACACACCCCATGCCAGGTGAAATTATCCACCTTGTTAAAAAAAAAAAGTGAACAAGTAATGATAATTTACTGTGATGGTAAAATTAAGCCTCTACACGCCAAGCAGTGAGGACACACTGATGCCATCACAGGTCAGCTCAGAATTGCTCCATTCAGTGAATTCCACTGGGCTTTTCCAAGGTCACCAGGAAATGATTTATTAAAAAAATAAAATAAAATTACCATCTGAGTTATTACTAGGTATTATCCTCAAAATACCTGACTAAAAGCCTCCTGAAATTAAGACTGATCACAGTTTCAGTTGGCCTTGAAGCAAACTTCGAAGTTCCGGACCTGGTGACTTGAATCATGTTGCTATCGTTAAAAGCGAATTTCCTGCATTGAACTGGTTGAAACTCAGTTTCATATTCTGAGAGGACAAAATGTAGGTAATTGGCAGATATCCCTCACATAACACATTTTTTCCTATTGCGACGTTACCACAGATAAAATGCCAAATACAGAAGAGACTGCATATATCCAACATCGCTATTGTCTGCTCTCCCCCACCATGGGTTTAATTCACGCACATTTCAAAAAACTATTACTTTTTCATACAGTAAACTAATCTTTAGAATTAAACCCAACAGTTTGGATGGGTCCAGACTGAGAACAATTGAGAACAACGATGAGATGCCCAAAATGTCTCTTCATGCATCCTGAGACAGAGTAAAGCAGGACAGAGAAGAGCACTGTATTTTCATGAGCATTCTAAACTGGCACTGTTGCTAAAAGGGGGTTGGGGAGGAGGGGAGAAGTCTGTTTCTCCCTTTGCTATTTATTCTTAATCCTCAGCTGTCCCCTTCTTCATGCCAGCACAAATGTTCATGAAGTCCTACAATAAATTGAATCAAAAAATAACTCAAGTTAAAATTAAACCAGCAAAGCAAACTCAGCTTAGTTTTAAGCTGCACCAGTCCTCTTCCAGTTCACCATACAGTGGCAGAAACGTTCCCTGTGGTTAAGGACAAGTGGTCAGGGAGGTACCTGAGTGCCTTTTTCAGCAGTGGTTGTCAGCTTACGCTGCCTCGCCATGCTGACGGAGCCACCCTGTAGGTAGCATCTCTGTTGTGCTTTGACACTGCCATTACTGTCTGACATTTAAACTGGGAGCATAGAAATATCTCAGAAAGCTGTGGCCTCTTTTGCTGCTGGAAATATTAATGCTTGGGTGGACCTTCCTATTTCTAGCAGTCAGTTCTTTGGATCACTGATGCTCCCTGGTAGCACTAAAATAACAGACCAACATCTGTGCCAAAATGGTAACAATAATTAATAATTGTCAACACTCAATCAGAGATTATTTTTATTGTTGAGAATCAACATCATCAGAATTTGAATCATTAATCGGGACTTGACTAATCCAGCAAAAGTGACGACCACAAGTAGCACCCAAAAGAAAGCACAACATCAGGAAATCAGCTATGAATTTCACATTTAATGACTTGTTATTGAGACCAAATTGACATCATCAGGAGTACTGTGAATACTTGAGTTCAAGTAAGAGTAAGGCAGCTATTTTGCAGTCTGAGGGTTTTAGACACCTGTGAAACTGCTATGTATGGAAGTTGTCCCTAATGTCATATTTGATTAGAACAAACATCTAATACAAAAAAAGATGTAATTTTGAATTTTTCTCTCATTCTTATACTATTGCCACCATGAGTCTCACAATGACTGATTCCCTCACTTTCACTGACATTTAGCAAAAAAACCCCACTACTTTCTCCGTGTTGCATATGGATCATCACTCTGTTCGTGGTCCTCCAGCAAAACACAATCCTTCCGATACCTTTATAATAATCCAAGACATGTAACACTTGTGGCACAACATGGCTCACTTGCTAGCATAGGTTAAAATATATAAATGATTGTGTAGAGCATCAAATTTGTTTTTCTATTATTTGTGCATCCCTGAGTTAGAAAAAAGTATCAATTTTGGAAGGGAAGAGGGGATTATTTGAGAATCTTGCACAGTTAGTATCCCTTTTTGTTTTCACACAGAGAACTCACAATTAGTTCCCCCAGTCAACAGACCTCTGAGTCTCCTTCAGTCATCAAGGAGACAGATCAATACATCTTTGAAATCTTCGGACAATCTTTGGGCAAAAACCGGTAGAAGGTAGTAAGAAATATGCTGGCTGTGTCACAGAGGAAGCCGGGAGGTGCAATGCACTGAAAAACACGGGGGTGCCAGGCTGTGAAGTGGGGTGTGAGCCACCTGCTATGCTCTTCTGAACATCCCACCCAGGCAAAATCAGGAGAGAAGCACCTTCCTGAGACAGCAATCAAATGTGTAAGGGGAAAGGAGAAAGCCAAGCTGACACACGGGCTACCCTGCCACTGTAGGGGCCCTGGTCCTCTCTAACTCCTTAGAGTTTGTCTTAAGGCACAGGAAGAGAGATTTCCCTGCACTGCTTCGAGTACAAGTTCATAATTGCAATTGGCCTTTACGAGAGGAGCAGAGAGAACAAGGGGGGACTGTGATTACATACCATCTGGACCTGGACAGTAGCTGCCGATTGCTACCTAATTTTAATACAGGGAAGCACTACAGCGTTCTGAATTATTACTAAGTTAAATCTACGCCTCCAGTTTCCGAGGTCAATGCAGTTCTCTTACCTTTGGTTGTGCTGAATGCATTCCTTTTTCTGACTTAGCTAAGCTGGGGAAGACGACAAATCTGCCCAGCCTTACGTTTTCTGACTTGTAGGTAACCTTTTCCTATGAAATGGTGACAGAAACAAACGGAATCAGCTGGACCACACTCACAAATTACATCAATATCATTTTTATCTACATAGGGGTAGGTTAAAATGCTTGAGCAAAATTATAGCAAACATCTGGAAAAGAACTATACATTAAAGCTTATAACAATGAAATAATGCAGGAAATACCTACTAACATTATTACTTGCTTCATCTATGAAAATGTAAAACTGTGTCGTTAATATACTTTGACAAAAGGTGAGATGATTAATGCTTACTACACTTCTATTCTAGATGCTTTGGATACAAAAGAAATAGTTGGAAAACAGATAGTTAGAACACCTTCTGGCTGTTTTTTTCCTGTTCTGCGAAACATGTTAGGCTTTTAAAGCTGCAAGACACATCTGGGCAATAGTAGTGTACTGTAATGTAATATTTTATTTATTGATAACTGCATTTTTTATAAAACACTTGTGTCCAAAAAATAATAGACATCAAATACGGAAAAGATTTATAAGATCATCCTCAAATCAGTACATATTTGTTTTCCATAGGAATTAGAGTCAAATCTCACCCTTCTAAGACTCACTGTCACTGGATAATCAAATGCTGGGCTGTTGGTAACTGAGAAGCCCCAGTCACTGCTGATGCAAGTACAGTATAAATATCTGAATGTCTTCATTCTTATTTTGCCTTCTGCCAAAATACTACATGCATTCAAAAAATCTACAGCAGACCTGAGGAACAGCTAACTACACTGGCAACTACCACCTAATAGTCTCACTGTCTGTTTTTATCCTTTTTTCCTAATTTAATTGTAGTGCTTTATTTCTGTTTACATCCTCTGGTGCTCACACATGTCATCCAACTCTTTCATATGCATGCGCTTTGCAAATACAAATGTGAACCATATAGCTCTACTGAGCTGGCATCATAACTTAATGTACTGCCCTCTAATGTTGATTTCCCACAGTTACAAGCTTCTGTTTGAGATCTAAGAAATGTGCACCTATCTTCTAACGTTTCTGCTGAGATGGGGTTCATAAGGTATTTCTAAAGGAACTACCTGATTAAAACTCTTCAGAAACCTTCAGTTTAATGAATCCTGCAAAACTAACAGAAATAACGGAAGATGTACAGATTTAGTGGAAGTAAAAAAAGTGAGATACTCGAGTAAGATCTCTCATCTGTTCAAGGAAACAGAAAGATAATCCGTCATCTTGGCTCCACTTTACAAAACGGTCTATCTCCAGGCAGATAAATATCACCTGGCTCTCATGCCTGATCAGTTCTATAGTCTCATATTTCAGATGATTTCTTTGTTCTTCAGAGTCTGAGGATTTTTAAAGACAACATAAGTACGATTGACTTGGCCACAAGGACTGTAATTACGAAAAAGAATTTGGTGAGAGGAATTGAGATGCCTGAACATTAGATAGAGAGAATCTTAAATACACGAAGGAAAATGTAGATCCTGTTTTTTACACGCAACAACAACAATTAAACAAGCTTTAAGTCCTTTCATGCACTTCATTCAGTTAAAGCTAGGGAAAACTAAACTTTCACTTTTTAGAAATTAGAGTTATATTCAAAAACAATTAAAAAATGGTGGGAGAAAAAAGAAAATTAAATTTCAGATTTTCACTATTCCAAATGCATGCACGTGCTCAGAGTCTCCATTTAAAATGTACACAAGCATTGTGAATATTGGGGGTGTGACGTGTGAAAGACTGAGCACAGCAGAAATAGCTTTAATTCAAATCAGATGGTTTTTTCACATCTTTTTGGCTTCCTCTCAAGAAAACAATGCCACACATGAGTGGAGACAGACCAATAATTCTTTGAAGTAGCAAAACAAACTGGTTTAAAATGCAAAGAGCAGGTTTCTGCACAGAGGATCACAGGAAGTGGTAACACTGGTTTTTCATCTTTGTGGTTTGCACTGATACGTTACTTGTCTGTTGAATAAAAGAAAGTTGAGACAACAAAAGGGATCAAACATGGAAAACAGATGGCATTTATCTACTTAGAGATAGTGCATCTTGTAAATGGCACCTAACCCCTCTGTCAAAAATTAAACAGCAGTTTACACAGAGTTGCATGGAATTCCTGATGCAATTGATCTCAGGATGCATTTGGGCATTCTTGTTCATATTACAAAAATAATGGGAAAATGTTTGTTCCCCTTATTAAATCTCATGGTTCTGACTAAGTATTAAGTTACACCTTTATTATTTAGCCACTCAAAAGATACAGAATTTCACATTAACAGAATATCTGAGAACAACCAATACAGACCAGGTAATGAGGGCTGGGTTTCAGACCTTTCAAAACATATGAGTTATTCTCAAGCTGAGAGCTTCTGAATCAAAAGGGTTTTTTGTTGTTTTGGGTTTTTTTGTTTGTTTGTTTTTTGGTTTTGTTTTGTTTTTTTTTTTTTAGAAATAATGAAAGTTGAAATAGTAATTTCTGTCTTATGATGGTAACATGATTGATAATATATCAAGAGCAAGTAAACAATGAATTTGCAAGCAAAAGAATCAGTGAGGCCATTAATGGAATGCTTTGCAAAGGCATGGATTAAGGATGATGGCAGCAGTGCCTGCATTTGACTAAGTATTTAATGATAGCTAGTGATTTCTCCTATTTCATAGAGATTTGACACTTATCATCCTCTGCACACACCATACTCTATAAGATAATGCTAAAGAATGGAAGTGATTGCTCAGTAACTATTGCTAGTAAGTTAAGTTGCATTAATTTCTCAGCTACAAAATTTTGATATTCTCACATGCTGCTTCCCAGATGTGTTACCACAAACGGGACAAGTCAGAGAAACACAAAAGAAAAACTCAGACTGATAAAACTGTATTACGACAATATCCATGAGATGGTTAACAGCATTTTGAGGAAGAATTACCCTGCAAAGAGAGATTCAAACAGCGTGACAATGTGTCAGCATTAGACTTTGAGTAGACTCCAGCTCTACCAAGTCTGAAGAAATCAGCTTATACCTGGAGATGTAGGAGAGTGTAACAAGTCTACAGGCTAAACGAAAAACTCAAAGATCTCATTACCACTACCGAAAAGCTTTCTGCCAGACTCAAGTTCTGGAACAGATCACCCAAGGAAGCTGGGGACCACCACTCTCAGAGAAGATTGAGACAAGCCTCTGTCATGACAGGATCAATGGGTCCTGCTTCCAGGGTGGGGAGATGAACTGCTCAGAATCTATTCCACACATGCTTCGTTTAATCCTCAGGAAAGGAAGTTCTACAGGTAGTTCTCAGATATCTCTTCACTGAAGGGCTGAGTCTGAGCATAGAAACAAAGCCTAAACAAATTATTTTCAAGAACTTACAAGTAAGTAGAAAAATATTTTATAATAAACATCTGAACACTAAACACCAGTTTTTGTCGCAAGGATTACTCACACATTATATAATCTATTCCATTAAATTACAACTCATTAGTCACTACAACAAATTATTTACATATCCCCAACTCCATTGTAATTGTATACAGTGATTTTGTTTATTTTTCTTAATGTTATGCTTGCTGGTTTATGTCATTATTTATCTTTGTATACAGATTAGAAAACCAGGATGAAAAAAAAAAATCATACCACTGATAAAACTCTATTTTGAGGACTACTTACTCTTTAAAATCAAAATCTCTAAACTCCCTTATCCCACTGTGGTATTTCAACACTGTAGAAATAATCATCTGTGACCATGTTATCTCAGCTGTTCTCTGAACACCACAGAGGAATTCAAAATCAGTTCAAAATCCAGGCTTCATAAATACAGTGCCCATTTCCTTACTACACTTTCAAATCTCGATAATCAACAAAACTCCCACAGAAAATAAACGCAACTTTTCTACAGACTACAAACGTAGCCTATGCAATGGAGCTCTTGAGCGTGGATGAGTCTATGAACATAAATGAGGAAGCTGGATCCAAGAGCTTGGTTTTCATTCGCTTGGATGCAACAAGAGGCCTTACAGAGGGATCTGGGTAGATTGGAGCACTGGGCAATGATCAGTGGCATGAAGCTGAACAGAAGCAAATGTCAGATTCTGCACCTGGGATGGGGTAACGCTGGGCACAAGTATAAACTGGGAGAGGAGTGGCTGGAGAGCAGCCTTGGAGAGAGGGGCCTGGGGGTGCTGGTCGGCAGAAGGGTCAACAGTTGCATTGTATTTAGAGTTAGTGCAGCCTTACCTTGAGTGCTGGCTGCGGTTCTGAGCCCCACACTTTAAGAAGGTGGTGAAGGTCCTTGAATATGTCCAGATAAGAGCAACAAAGCTGGTGGAAGGGCTGGCAGGCATCTCCTGTGAGGAGTGGCCAAGGACTCTGGGTTTGTCTAGTTTAGAAAAGGCTGGGGGGCGACCGCATTGCTCTCTGCAGCTCCCTGAGGAGGGGATGTGGAGAGGGGGGTGCTGAGCTCTTCTCCCTGGGACCCAGTGCCAGGGCACGTGGGGATGGCTCAAAGCTGCACCAGGGGAGGATTAGCCTGGACATGAGGCAGCATGTCTTTACTGAGAGGGTGGTCAGACACTGGAACAGGCTTCCTGGAGAGGTGGTCCATGCCCCGAGCCGGTCAGTGTTTGAGACCTTTGGACAATGACCTTAATAACATGCTTTACCTTTTGGTAAGCCCTGAAGCTGTCAGGCAGTTGGACTAGATGATCACTGTAGGTCCTTTCCAGCTGAAATAGTCTATTCAGTTCTGTTCTATTCATTCTGGATGCTGGAGCTCCCAAATACATGTCTGCTGCAGGTCTGTTCAGCATCCTCAGAAACCCTGTGTCCAACCAGTGCAGGAAGACCGAGGCCTGCCCTTGTTTTATCTCTTATCTGAATATTCTCCTTTAAATAAGGTTCTGCATTTACTATTATAAATATTTAATCTAAAGTCTAAACCTTAATGCATTACAACATACTGCTCCACCAGCATTTCTTAATATTTGCTGTGGCAAAGCATGGATGTTAATTGCCAAGCTGTCATTCACAGATCTTAGTGCAGACACACCTTCTGTGAAATGCCTCGTCAATCACCAGTGTCTACATCAGCCTCTGTGGCACTGAGGGAAGAGGTGCCATCGGTGTCCCCAAACACACACCTTTACCCCACCAATCTGCAGTACTTCACTTTCGCTCCGTAGGATTCCGCTGGTCTTGCCTGGTGATTTCCTTCTCTCTTTTTGTGGCATTATCGGTACTCTCAACAAGAGGAGTGAAATGCACTGATGACACTGAATGTCTGGAGGTGAATGTCTGCTTTATGGCTCTTCAAAGCAGCTTCACACCGCTGTGTCTGTAAATTTTAGCCATTTTCAACTGTTGGGTTTTTATTTTTGTTTTTTTATAAGCTTGTCTCAGGCCAATCCTATGTAGAGCCCTTGGAGCACAGCCTCTTCAGCCTGGTGGAATTCTGCGAGGCATTTTTGTGACGCGGCGCCGTGTGACCAGCCTGTGTCCCCATGGACACAGCAAACGCACAGCTCACGCGGCTGCGCCAGGGCAGCTTCCAGTAGCAACACAGCATGTCCGGAGTCACCACCAGTGCTGGAAAACCCCTCCGCTGTTCTGAAGCAAGAGGTGATCTCCACATTGGGGAGAGGACCTACTCGCAGTTGTGACTTTGAGGAGTTGACAGCAAAGTTTACACCTACAAATAGCGATCTCTTCTTTAACAATCTTGTTCTTACTTTTTGGCTAATACAGGTACAGTTCTAAAACAGCAAGTACGTGAAAACTGTAAACGAACACGCAAAAGACACCCCTTCTGATTGAACACATTTCATGTCATGCTATTGTGCAACCATTGGAGAAATTATGCACAGGCAATTCTATGTAGTGTTGTTTAAAATTCAGAGCAATAAAGGAACTAAATGTCATTTTCAGAAAAAAAAAAAAAAAAAACCCAAACATAAAATTCCAAGGTTGAAAGCAGCTGGAATAACACAGACCACCTCTCTGTTACTAGCAGAAAAAAAAAATGTACTCTAACAATCACAGTCCCTAAATCAATTTGGCTGTTTTTGACCTTTAACAACCTAGGGCAGAAAGTAAGTTGTTTTTTATAAAAATAATTTCCACCTACCACCAAGACTTGTTTTTTGCAGGTCAGGTACAAAGTAGCTTTGAAACATACAATCAAGAACATTTACTACTTCCCTTTCAAGACAGAAATACTGGAAAATCCTCATGAACTGGAAACCCCCACAAACCTGAGGGGCTCAAGGACAGGCAATGGGCTGAAAATTATATAAGCCCCAAGTCTCTGTGCGTTTCCTGTTTTGCTGCAGCTGCTGAAAGGGGCTGTGCCCCCTCACCTCCGAAAGGTGCTACATAAGCAAGCACCAAGAAAGGTTGTCACCAATACTAGTTGTCACAAGCACGATTCTTGGACACCTCCCTTTCCTCCTGCTTCACCCTTATTTGGGAGCAGTTTCAAGCTCATCTGATGGCAACCTGCTGCCAACTTCTCTTTTTGTGATGTGCCATTTTAGCAAGCTAAGACCGAGTCAGACGAGCACTAGAGGCAGCAGGCACGTACCTCCCCTCCTAAACTCACTCTGCCCGGCTCACTGGAGCGCTTCACTCAGGGCTCTGTGGTTCCATGCCAGGAATCCAAAACACGTGTGATGCGAGATCATTGGTCACAATGCCTACGTTTCCTTGTTTCTGAGAAACAGATCTTCCTCCACGGATTTCTTCTCATTCATTCCATAAGGCACCATGCATATTCTTTTGAATAAATATACATCTATTAGTATCTTGTTTTAATAACGGAAGTACAATACAGTTAAAAAGTCATACCATATTTTTACTTTAGGCAGCACCATGCTTTTGTCTGTGTCACTGCTCTGAATATGGCTACATACTCCTTTGTTAATGCAACTCACTCAGTCATGACCAGATCCCTGAAGTAATACAGGAAGAAATGCATCTGCTGTGTCATCCGACAGCCAATATGCTTAGACAGGAAATTATTTACATTGTGGTCTAAAGTATTTGGAAGATCAGCCTCATTACTCAGTAACTATCGCCTCAACGCTTTACAAAATCCACTAACTATGCACAGTATCACAGTCTTCAATGAAGACTGAGGAGCTCAAAGCAAAATCCTCACCGCCTGAGCCTGACTAATGCTTCTGACTTCCACTAAAAGTAAGCAGATGCAAAAATATTTTCCAGACCACAGCCAAGATTTAGAAATTATTTTCAAAATTCATAAACTCAATTAAAATTAATTAGATTATACAAAGTATTTTATTTTCTTTTTTAAAAATACAACATTTTAAAAAACACCTGTATCTATAATACATAAAATTTCATTCAAATCCACATATAAGGTATGCAAACGTTAACAGATTTTGAGAGCGGTGACAAACTTCCCAAGAAGGGGGTGGAAAGTGATAACTTCACTCTTCCAAGAAATATTTTTTTAAATGCTGACTTTCACTTGTGTTAAGAATCCGAGACATCAAATTCTGTAACTGACATAGTGCTGTCTAGACTATTTTAATGCCAAGAGTTGATATCAGAGAATTAAAATTATCACAAACCCACACCTCTGACTCAGATGTCACCTTGATTAAATAATATTATTATTCAGTAGCACTTAAGGATACCTGGCATTTTGCAGAATAAAAACTCACTGTAGTATTAGACATGTACATAAACAACAGTCCTCCAAAATGGACGATACCATGAAGCTTTTGCTACCCATCCTCTTTTCATAAGCAAAATACTTCTCAAAGTCTCTTCCTTCACATGGCACCTCGTCATTGACCGCTTAACTGCTGGTAGCGCTGGGATGCAGTGGTTTGACTCTTGCTAGTCTGGAGAGGCCAAGTCTAAGACACTGAGTAGGTGACTTAACCGAAACATATTTCATAGAATTATTACTGCTTCCCAATGCAGCTGAAAATAATTTTTAAAACAAAAAAGAGTAAGACGTTTAGAGAGGAAAAAACATAAATCGTAGGACTGTTATCTTTTTATAGTTTTCATAGCAGAACAAAAGAAGTATTCTAAAGATACAGCAAAAAAGTCTAAACAACATACCACAGAAGCACATGAAAATCAGCATACTCACCAGGAATCAATCTATTTGGCAGCCAATGCAGCAGTTATGGCACACAGTTTTAACTAACCAGCAAGACACTGGACAAGCACATAAAAAACTGCTGTCAGTGTACCGTGCATTTTCAGGTGCTCCAGAGAATCACAGAACTGAACACAATTCCAAATGAAGAAGTCTTGACAGAAAGGGGCCAAACACAACGAAATGTGTACAGAAGAGTAAATATGAAGGAAAATCAAAGAGGCAGAAGTCAGCAGCAGCATGCTCAAACACCTTGAGAAAACAATGTTTCTAAGCATTTGCTTTACTAAAGCAGTTAAAATACTCCAACGTTTTTCTAGTATTATTTGTTTAGAATAAATAACAATACAGCATGTACCAGAGATAAAGAAAGCTCTTAGTGAGAGAGACATGGCCACAAAACAATCTCTTGATTAAGATTTGTTCCACACTCTATAAAATACTTTATTATCCTCCCCACATAAAGGAGTTAAGGATAATGCTGCAAAAAGAAAAAGCAGCACTGACATAGCTTTTCTTTTTTCTTCAATCTAGCGCCAAAAGAATACCTTTCACTATAAAAGGGCAGTAATTTTTCTGAAATACTGTTTATGCGTTTGCTTGCTTTTAGGAGAGATTGCTAAGAACTTAAGTCAACTAATATATCTGTAGTTACAATCTTACAGGTACCTGGTGGTATCCATTTAGGCTTCTTGTCTGTTATAGGACTTGATGTATGTAGAGGCCTCCCAACTGGTTCTGAAGAACTGGACGTCTTTTGTGTTGGCTCAGCTTTCTGTTCCATTATTTGTGAAGGAGAAACTACGGGTGACACTTAGTTGGAAAATAAAAGCAACCTTAGGATACTCTTTAGCAGAGGTATCTGCATAAGACTATAGATCACTGTACAGCACAAGCTCCCAGCACTGAGTGAAATAATGACTATGTTACAAGACTGTCACATCTTTAACAGTATATATTTAGTCAGTTAGTCCTGTTATACTCTGGAACTTCAATCCTGGTTTGAAAATAAGAGTGTAACAATTTCTTCTTGAAAACCTGTCAGATATCAAATTTCTAAGAGGGAAGATTCTTTTATCAGCTACACAAAGCAAACTATTCCTTGTGATAACTAAAACTAAATTATATGTTGTAAACTCAGGACTGAAATTAAAACACATTATCAAGTCAGACATGAGATTAACACCATGATAAGAATTTTCTTCAGCTATTTCAAGTAAATTGTGTTAGCAACACAGTGAACAGTTAACTCTGAAGGACATACATATTTAAAGTTTTTTGCCAAGTGGTTAGTAGAACTAGCATTGTTTAGCGGTCCTTGAATTGAGAACTCATAAATGTAACTGCAAGAGGAGGCTCTGGAATTATAATTAAAAAAAAAAAAAATCCTCAAATCACCCATTGTTATTTAAACTTTTTTGTAAAAAACAGGTATCTAAAAGAAATTAACTCTGTTCACTTTTGTCTCCTTCTATTGTAAGAAGTGTTAGTTTACTATAAAATGTTTTTTCTTTCTAGGATTTTTTTCTACTCTCATCCCATTACTCCGCATATAGTCATTTTCATCATAACCCCTCACAGTGAGTCTGTCAGCCAAATGTATCTATTCCTTCAGTGAAAATAAAAGGGGTTTTTATTATAAAGAAGTCTTTCAAATTCATAGTACAAACTTACCTGTTGTATTAATCTTGGATTTGGAAGTTTTCTTCTCTCTTTCAGCTGGCATCTTTTGTCTGGTTTTCTTTTTATTTCCTTTGACTTTCTTTTTCATAGCAAAGTCTTCATCATCACCTTCACTATAATCTGAATCTTCTTCTGACTCCTCAACTACAGCAAGGAAAAGGGATCTCTTTACAGGAAATGCAATTTACTATTACTTCAGGGCCTTCTAATCACACTCTGGACATGAAAAAACCAAGATATCTTAAGGATACAATAAAACAAATTTCCACATATTTGTATGCTGAAATGAGAAAGAAATAGCCTTCATAACACATTCTATATTTACAGAATTCTCGCTCTGTACTTTAATAATTGAACACCCTGGCATAAACCGCATACAATAATGATTTCAGCAGCAGAATTACCGATATTCAGTGCAAGATGAAAAAGTTAAAATTATTTGGCAGGGCTTCTGATTTTTACATATATCTTGGTCATGACAATTTAAAGTAGAAAAACACTACATCTAATTTCAGCTGTAAGAAAGATTTAGATTTTACAGATTTATTATTAAAAAAACCCAGACGTTATCAAATCTTAAAAATTGTTCTCTATCAACTGGAATATCTGGATTATATCCGTTATTTTATTTCACTGACAAGTCCAGAATATTTTCCAATAAACTCTGCAGTAAGGAATAAAAGAATGGACACAGACGTGTTAACAACTGGGGAATGAGAGAGACACCTATCATACTCTGCAGGCATTCAATACTAGGCTGCTACCAGAAGCAGAGTATGAGGCCAGCTGACCTCCAATCAGATGCAGCATTCTAAGAGTTGAGAATTGGAGAAGGGAAGAATGGAAGCTACTCACTTTTTAAAATAAGCTTAAACAAAGCCAATACAGAAAGCACTAACGCCTGACACTACTCCAGAGTTACTGTTTTAATGCAAACCCCAGACAACAACTGGAAAAATGAAGAGGCTATTTAAAGAAACGAAACTTTCCTGGACAAAGAGGGTAGAATAAATTTGCTCTGGAATACTGCAGCAAATGCAGAGAAACAGTATAATTTTTGCAATTTTGGGAAATGTGTATGAATAACCTCCAATGTTTAGATTTAGTGTCAAAGTGCAACTGACATGCCAGTAGTATTAAAAGATGCTTCAGTAAGGCAGGAGGAAACACAGTAGAAGCAGTATGCATTTCACTGAAAATATAAACTAAATGTAAGACATCACATTCAAGGAGAGACACACCTAAGGGAAAGGGTTTTTATGGAGAACTTACTGGGTACAGACTCTGGCTCAGTCTCAGTAGTATGCTCTCTGTCATCAGTGTCAACGGTCAGTAACTTCTTCTGATGTGCTGGAACTTTCAAAGCAACTGTCCATTGCCTACCCTCGTCCCTCGGTATGTCATCATCCATAACCTGATTGAGGCCTAGAAAACAGAAGGTGGTCTAATTAATTCAAATTCACGGTAACTCTATTCTTCTCAAAAAGAAGGAGGTATCTGATCCCCCCAGAATTCCTTTTTGTGATTTTGAAGTATGTTATACAGAAGCATATTATCAGCACTTGTTTCCATGTGATTTTCATTTTACTCTTTTAACTGACCAACATGTACTTTCTGGTTGTGGAAGTAGTTAATATTTATCTGCAGCCAAGCTAACAAAAGGACAAAAGACCAGAAATGAAACTGGAAAAATGAAAAAATTTCCAATGGCACAGAAAATGTTTTGGTCATGTTTATTTGATGTTTAGGCATTATGGACCCATTAAGGAGTTGAGGATAAGTACAGCTCCTTGAATAAGTAAATAAATTCAGCGTCTAAAAAATACACATCTCTTTCTTTTTCCAACTAAATTTTGTTGATCTGTAACAATCTCATTCAGCAATCCAGAGGTCTTCCCAAAGACTGGAACCAAATTTTTCATGAAAAAATTAATACATTTAGTCTTTATTTAAAAACCTTTTTTTCCATGAAAGTTAAAAGCAGAAACCAATGGAAAAAAAGAAGAGATAAGGTACTTAAATGTCTCCTGAAATGATATTTCCGAAAAGACAGAGTACGAGAACAACTTACCTAAAAGTTCACTGTCTACACTGCAGTTGGAAAAAAGGGGTCTCCTGTGTACATCTTCTGATTCAATATTCTTACCTGGTTTAGGATACAGAAAACAAAAACTAACATAAGATATTAGTATTCAGAAAACACATTACAAAAAGTCAAGATATTAAGAAATTAAAATAGCTAACATTTTCATTTGTCTTTAACTAAACTCTATGTTTGGAAGATCTTATAAAAGAGTTATTTTTCTGACAGATAAAAAAATGAACATAACAATATGCACAGGCACTACTTAGAAATTCTCATTTCCTTATCATGACATCTTGAAACAAAACATGACTTTCAACCTATTTCACTGTGAAATAAATTGTCATGTTCAAATTCACTACATACAAAGAGTATTGCATTGAACTGTAAAATAACCTTGTTGTTCTGCATTCTGCACCTCAAGGATATTTGCAGATTTTTCTTTGACGGATAAGGCTAAGGCAACTTCCAAATCTCTCTGATAAAGTTTGTCATCCAAGGATACCCTGGAAAAAAACCCCAAACATACTAAATAATGACGTGTTATAGAACTACTTCTGACTCACTGAACTTCTTTAAATTAAAATACTTGTAAAGAGATTAATATTTCAAAACGTACTTTATAGCATATCATATTAAGAATATTCCTTCCTAAAAAGACTTAGACAAAGTATACACTTTTCAAAGCACACTAAGTACTATTATAATTGCAAAACACTCTGTGTGTGTGTATATATATATATATTTATGTTCACTAATAACTGGCATTATCACAGAAAAAGGTGATTACATTTGTTTAAAATATCACCCTGAAAGGTAGTATTTATACACAAATTTACTACCAAAATAATCAGATTTCTTTTTTCACCGACTTTATATTTTCTATCAAGCTTTAAATATGTTCTAAGGAGTCAAACTTGTCATTATGTTTCTCACGTTTAGGAGTCCCTAAGTAACTCAGAATTGTTACAGTTATTTTCCACCAAGACAAGATCAGACGCCCAAGATCAGACATGCAAACCTGTTTCTGCACCTGTGCAGGCTGCTTGCTCTGGAGTTCTTTAGAGCTGCAACAAAACAGATACAGCTCACTACTGAACTCAGGCAAATTTTCCTGACTATGTATAATCACATTATCCCCAATTTGCAACTATACCAATAAAGGTGAAAATCTTTATCACATTAATATGTTAGTTGTGTTTTCACAGATGATTAAAAAAAAAAAGAGAAACCAAATGGTATTATTGAAATCCAGCTTTACACACAGTTGACCACATTTCAACATTTCTTACCTTTTACTAGGTGTCTGCTTCTCTGAATAAGGCAGTTCTTTGTGTGGCTTTTTTTGCTTCTCCTTTTTCTCCTTCTTTGGGTCCTTGAGCTGTGTTCTGGATTTTTTGCTTGAAGATGCAGTTATACATGTGAAGTCTTCATCTGTTTGGGAAACAGCAACAAGCTTTAATGAGTTTTTCTATATTCTTCCATATGGCCAAAAGGAGTCATTCAACTTAATTTCATCACACACTGAAAACATACCAAAGATAACCTTTTTGAAATTAATTATATTTTTAAAGAACTGTAACTAGACTATTGGTAAATGTCTTCTAAATTAAAATTTAACAAGACCTTTTTTGCATATACTTTTATTCAAGAAGTAATGATTTCATTTTTTATTACCAATATGGCAATAAAGCTTCAATGTTCAATGCGTTACCAAATTTTCAATAACTAGAACTTCACTTTTTGATATGCTGAACAGCAATCAATTATAATCACTGTCATTAAATATTTTTAGAGTTCTTGGTGTTTTGGGAATTGCTCCCCTTCTTAAAAAATGTTGGCTGCTCCCCTTTTTCTACCATTTTCATATTGCATCTTACCAAATACAATGCATTTCACCAATTTTCAAAGAAAATTAGAAGGCATGAAAACTGCCTTTCTTGCAGCTGAAGACACCACAGATCATAGTGCAAAATAAGGAAAAAAATAATATTCAGTATTCTCTAAATGATGGAGACCCTTTGATAAGATCACTAATATTTCTGAGAATTTGCACTCCTGAAACTAATAATCTCCATTAATCCACATGATTCAAAAGTGACCTTCAATATTATTTATTTTGCCCTCCCTTTTCCACCAATTCAAAATGGTCCCTGGATCTGAAAAGAAGCATAGGAAAAAAAGAAAAAAAACATGAAATCAACCAAATTCTGTAAGAAAAATACATAATATCCATTAGGGTTTAGACATAAAGGAGGTCTGTTGTGAAAATAAATAGCCTGCAATTTATTTTCCTGATCAATGGAACTTAAAATTTGACTGCTATGTCCTTAACCAAAAATCCATCAAGACACAAAGCTATAGGAGAAACGTTAAATCTATGTACAGACAATTTACACCTTTATATTCTGATTTACAACTCTGTGAACTGATGATCAAAAGGACATGAAGCAACCAATTACCACTGAAAATTGAGGCAGGGGGAGAAACAGATTTTCCTGCAACCAAGTGTATTCACCAGTTTCCTGACATACTGCTGTTATATTCCAGTTTACAGCCATTATATTCTTGTTGAATTAGGATACTTAACAGTGTGCCTGGATTACTTCCAGTGAAAAAGTTATCAGCCTTCTCAATTAACTAATTCATTAAAAACACTATGACGATATTTCTGGTGGTTACATAAGTGCTTGGCATTCTTCTTATGTACAAAACCACACCACTTACCATCATCTTCCAAATCCCCAAATTGAGAATAATCAACAACTTTCTTGTTCCTGTGGCAAAAACCATACACTGTTAATCCTTTCAGGTTGAGCATCTTAACTTGCTACTACTTGATTTTGGGGTAAACCATGTTTTACAAGAAAAAAGCAACATATGTTCAAATGCATGCATAACCAGTGCTACTGTATACAACGTCGTCATTACAAATAGCTTCTAGATTTTTTTAAAATCTTAAAATAACAGTGCTTTTTGTTGTTCTCGCTGTGGAAGCACTGTCTTCTTCTTATGTGCACGCTGTCTCAGAACTGGTACCATGCCATGGAAAATTAATAATGCAATAATTCCCCCGGGTCACTCTCAGGCACTTGAGATCTGTTTTCCGTGCGACTTCCAGGCCGTTCCCGACACTGCCGTCGGTGCAGGCGTTACCCTACCCCGAGGGGGCACCGTCGGCACTTTCCCGCCCACCCCTCAGCCAGGGCTCCACCCGCCGGGGCTGCTCCTCGCGGGACTCGTTCTCCCCCGCTGCCCGCCCCCGGGGGAAGCCTCGTGCTTCCTTCCAGCCGGGAGGGAAACGGCGCAGGCCTGTCCCCGAGCCCCGCGGTACAACGGGCCGCGGAGAAGCCGGGTGCCGGCAGAGCCGCAGGGCGCTGGCGGGGCCCGCCCGCCCGCCCGGGCCGGGGGGGTGAGGGGCGGAGGCGGCCCGCCCGCTCCCTCACCGGGTAACGGCCACCGGCGGCGCGCGCGCGCGCGGCTGAGGCTTTCTAGGAAACGTCTCCGCGCGCCTCGGGGCCGGGCGGGCGGCGGCGCCAGCGCCTCGCGCCCACACCCCCCCCCACCCCGCTCCACGCGGCGCAGCGCGCGGGACTCCCGCGTGCCGCCGCACGCACGCACGCACGCACGCACGCACGCACCTCCTCACCGGCCGCGCCATCCCCGCTCCCGCCGGCGCGCGGCGGCCGACAGCCGCGGGGGGCGGGGCACGCGCACCGGTGACGACGTCTCTGGCCCGCCCCGCCCCGCCCCGCCCCGCCCCGCCCCGCCTTCTGTGGGCGCCTGCTTGGCACATTCGCCACGTGCGGGCGGGTGTCGAATCTGCGGCTGTGGGCGCGGAGGCGCTAACGGGGAGGCGGGAGCCGCCCGGCGTCGCCCCCTTCCTGCAGCGGCGGCGGTGCCGGCGGTGCCCGCGGCCCTGCCGCCCGCCGCGCCTGCCCGCCCGGGCCCCAGGTGAGCGAAGAGGGCGCCATCCCCGCGTTTCGTGGCGGGGGAAGGGGCTTTAGTCCCTGCGGGCGCCGCCTCATCCGAGCTGAGGGGCTCTGTTTACCCCTGGGGTTTCGTAGCCTCCCTGTGGGGGTGGGATCCTGCAGGCTTCCCCCTCCCGGTTTTTCTGTGACGGGAGCCACCGTTGCCCGTCTCGCCGCGGGCCGCCGCCTGGCACCGCTGAGCCTGTGGGGGAGCTGCGAGGGCGAACGCCGGTTCGGCCCTTCCTGCCGGGACACACCGGCTGCTCGGCGGCGCTGGGGCCAGGGGCAGCGGCCATCGCCTCGTCTCGGGTTTCCCTCCCCACTAAATCTCGTTTTGTGAGGGAGTAGCAGAAAGACGTTCATCAGATCTGTATTTCTAAGTGGTGCCCTTTAAATCTATCTCTGTGATGGGCCAGCAGAGCTCTTCGGTTTAGCTTTGGTTGCCCTGATATTTTTGTTGTTATCATAAAGGGATTTGTAACCGATTTGTTTAAATCTGTTTCCAAAGTGTAGGTTTGTTCTCCCAAAAAAAAAAAAAAAAAAAAAGGGTCCCATGAATTTTGCAATGGAGAACATACTTTTGTTTCTTTCATTTTCTGCCTTTCTTCTCCTTAGACTGTGGTTTTTAGCACTGGGGAGATTTCAGATGGAGTAATGTGTCCAGCTTTGCAGGTAGTGTTCCAAAAAAAAGAGAAATGGAAGCGGAGGAGCCCTCACAAAAGGAAGAATTACTCACACAGATATGTGCTCTCATCCTGTAGACAGTTCTCTTGCTTTTCTTTTGGCTCATTTTTAATGGTGTTATTTAAAAAATAACGATAATCTGTCCTAAAGCAGGTTACAAAATGACAAAATAAGGTTTTTTAAAAAATAATTGTAAACTTTCATTACCCTCCCAAGTCTACCACCTGAAGAAACAAGGAAATAAAATCCTAATGCACTGTGAAGGATTTCAGGTTTTAAGACAAGCATGGCAGCAGCTGGGATGTCTCATTTAAAGTTTGCTATTTATGAGGATTCCTTTTGTTCTGGTTCTGTCTTTAAGTCAGAAAGCTTATACTGTAATTTGTAAAACTAATTACTTATAAAGCCCTATATTGATACACTCAATTATAGTTTAGAAGCATTCAGTGTTTTGGAAACCAGTATTTATGCTTCAGTTTCAACCTGTGTATTTGGAAGTCAAAATTCAGATGAGTATCTGTGAACAATTTGGGAGTTTAAGTTCTCTTGACAGAAGCTGTTAATTGTTACCAAAGCCTACAAGGCTTAGTTAGCATTTTTACTTATGATTTTATAAGAATGTAACTCGTTATTTCAATTTCTAATGCAGGAAATGAACTCAAGAAGATGAAGCCTAATAAAGGAAAGACCTGCACTAGGGAGAGAGACTATGTGTACAAATTCAGTGCTGGAAATCAACATTTAATGCTTACCGTGCCTCTCAAATTCCCTGTACAAGAGAATATTACTCATTTGCATGGACGTCTAATGCTTCTGCACAATCTGCCATGCTTTATAGAAAATGGTAAGAATTGATTTCTTAAATTAGTGTCATATATTGATGTCCACGAGTGTCTTACAACCTGCTTTAAGAAATCAAAAGAAGAGTATTTTCTAGAACAGCCTTTAAAAATTTGTTTTTTAAACAGCAAAACATTAAAGAAAATTATTGTCAGTACTGGCAAGTAAGGTGCCCAAGTGAAAGGTTTTCAGAAAGACTTTATTTGTGTTTCCTAGATGATTACTGATACCTTCACTGACATATTTTGTTGATGGACCATTATCTTCTTCTTGTAATAGACCTGAAGCAATCTCTTAATAAGTTCATAGAAGAGGAAACTATAAAAGATTATGATAGAGAAGCTGAAATAGCTCTGGAAGCAGTGAAATCAGGAAAAGTAGACTTAAACCAGCTGGCAGATGCTTGGGCTAAAGCTTATAAAGAGGTAAGATTAAGGCTGAAATGTTAATATTCAGGACTTGCTTTGTGAGAGTGTGTGTGCATGTACAGACAGGATCATGTCTGCAAAGATGCAGAATTACACTGAAACTCACTTTTACTGATCAATTCTTACATTTTTTTTCTTTTTATCTAAAAGTGATCTGTAAGTCTTCATCCTATAAGTTCTCAGTCAGGTTCAGTTTTTTCCTGAATTTAGTAGAGTCAAAAGTTACAAAATTGAGAGGTAAATAGCTAGTGATACTCAGACAAAAATAGACATGAGGGTTGTAGTGCAGTAGAATCAAAGGAAGAGATAGTGAAATGGTACTCCTATCCTAAATCTCAGTAATAGTAATGAAGACTCCAAAGAGAAAATGTACACTTGGGAGAGACTTTTGAGCGCATTTTCTGAGTTCATGTGACTATTTTACAATACTTAGCGTTGACGAGCTGGTTGATTAGCTGGATAGCGTTTATTAGCTGGAGTAATGCATCCAGTTTTGCATGGGATCTTCAAAATAGAGGAATACAAAAGAACTGGAGGAATCCTAGCAAAGGGGAAAAAAGAATGACAGAAACTGCAGCATTTGGGGAAAAGTTTATAGGAATTGAATTTGCTTAACATAAAAGAATGTTGTGAAAAGTTCTGGAACGTATGTCTGTTATAAAAGAGATTATAAAAGAGAATTGGAGACAAATCATCTGCCTTAATGAATGTCAACAAACTTAATTCCACTTAACCTTTAAGAAGGAAAAAAATCTCTATTGGGTGAGCATGGGAATGTGATAAAACATTAAAAGAGTTTACAGTCTTCCATGCTAGTGGTTTCTATGAAAATATTAGCCTGAGTGCAAGGGTTAGGATTAGATTATGTCTTGACATTTCTAACCAATACTTCAATGATACCATCTCAATTTGTCTGTAGAATATGATGGAAATGATTGCAAATGTAAGGAGTGTTTCAGTACAAAGGGGCTTGCAAAACTGTCATCTTTGGCCCCTTCCTTGTTCAATAAAAATGGCTTTTCTTAAATCACTGTTGCTCATCAAATTCTAGTGACATCAGAGGCTAGTCATCTTTTCTAGCAAAACATTTTTGTTTGCACCGCTGGTTGTTTGAGCCCTATCTAAAGTTCATCAATTGCAAACGTTGTAGGTATTACTGTTCTTTCCAAGTTGGTGATGGATGAAAATAGGTAGTTCCTCACTGTAGTCAAAATGTCAGTGTTTCTGCTGTTAGTTGCTTTGAAAGAGAAAGAATATGGGAAGGGAGAAAAAAAATAAAGATAAACCAGAATACAGAAAGCTCAGATTAGGAAAGATAGTTCATGCATGTTGAGGGTTGTGCAGCTGTGTGTGCACTGATGGATGTGCCCTGCCATTATGACGGATCCTTACATGTCCTAAAAGGTACATTTTAAATGCTTTAAAATCTCTTATAATTTTTAGACCACTTTAGAATATGCAAAACCTGAAGAAACCAGCTGGGATGAAGATTTTGCAGATGTTTATCATGATCTGATACATTCTCCAGCTTCTGAAATGCTGTTAAACCTGGAACACAATTATTTTGTTAGTATCTCTGAATTAATAAGTGAAAGAGATGTGGAACTGAAAAAACTACGGGAAAGGTATTCTTTTTTTTTTTTTTTTTTCCTCCTATCTTATTAAATAGGGGTGCATGCCACTGGGTGTATACTCATAGGACAACACGTGTCAGCTTGTATTTTATCTATGTAAGTCCTATTTTAGTTTTATGTTTCCCTCTTTAAAGTCATGTAATACTTAGCCTATATTGTTTGGGTCAGCTATCTTATATTCTTCTCAGTCACTAAAAATAATAAAATCTAAGGCCATCAAAGTAATACAAGGTTTGATTTCCGTTGTTCTATCCACATTGTAAGTGGTATAGCAGTGTAAATTGCTTAGGCTACCTAGAAGATGAAGTATATGTAGATACCATGTTTTGCCTTTGTTATGATGTAATTTAAATGAAAAACTGGAAGTTCCGTTGGTTGAAAAGAGGAGCAAAAGACTTGAACCAACTTTAAATCAGAAACTGTTGAGTTTGAAATCTAGGAAGGTTTATGCGAGATCCTGAGGTTTCTGAATAAGGTTGAATAGCTGCAGGTGGCTGCTTTGTCCACAAGAGGGAACACATACAATGTGGATTTTGCTTTCCTCTTTTTTTTTTTTTTTTTTTTTTCTTTTTTTCTCTTTATCTTTTTTTTGAGCATGACTAAGTTAAGGAAAATTAATGAACACAAATATAGATATAACATAGATATGAAATACTATAGGTACTTATGAGGTGTCAGAATATTCTAAGTAGATCTGATTCAGCAAAGTGATGGAAGAATCCTCTTGAATTGTGTGTGTTTAAGCTCACATTATACAATGTGTATCTGTTTATATAATTTCTTCTAGACTGAATCTTACGTATTTCTAATTTGGGAATAAATGTTGCCAGTAAGGTGTTAGCAAACATTTTTGCTGCTTATTGACTCTTCTCAGGTATGCATATAGAAGAAAGAGCACCTAATCCTAAAAGCCTTAATGTTGTGGAGCTCTGGTGTGTGATATAGCTGTGCAATTCATCATATCTATTTGTCATAATCAAGAAACTCCCTATGTTGGTGGCAGCTGAGACTGTCCCAGATGAACACAGGCAGTGTTCTGTTTACACAGGAGCTGACTTGGAATCCCTGACCCTCAACTCAGATTTGTTTTGTGGATATTCATTGCTAAAGCTGTGCTAGGGTAAATTGATTTTTTGCTGGAGAAAGGGCTGAATGTGAAAGACTAAATGAAGCCAAGGGTTAAGAAGGCTAAGGAGGGATGAGGTGTTGGATGAACTGATGATAGCAGGGCAACGCTTTAACTCTCAGTCCCCTTGTTGAATGTAGATTGAGCTGGAAACTCATCTGTTAAAAACAGGTGTGTTTAGCCTGTTCCTTGGTGTTTACTTGGTGCATCAACTGTGGTTGCAGCATGACAAAAGCAAGGGACTGAATAGGTCCATTTCAAAAACTCTTCTGATGGTAAGGATAGTGAAGCACTAGATTAGGGTAGCTGGAGATACTGTTGTACTTTCTTTTGAATATCTGTGAGGGCAGACTTTAAACGTACGAATTCCAATTCCAAAATGAGCAGATGGACAAAGTACTGCATGACATATCTTTCAGCTTTGTGTTCAGCTGTACCTCTGCTCGTGATGAGCATTGACCAGCTGACTGATACAACTGATGATTGTATCAGTAACTGCATTGACAACAATGGGTGTTCTTCTGCCGGTTTTTTGAAAATGTTGCTTGTTATAAATCTACATTTCCTTCTCTTTTAGACAAGGAGCTGAAATGGATAAGGTGATGCAGGAGCTAGGGAAATCACTAACAGACCAAGATGTAAATTCGTTAGCAGCTCAGCACTTTGAATCTCAGCAGGTAAACTAAGTTCAGCGAACTAGAATATGTCATGCAACTAATTGTTTTACAAAGAAAACCCCAAACACTCAAATTATCACTATATTGTTAGGATTTGGAGAACAAATGGATGAATGAATTAAAACAGTCTACTGCTATCCAGAAACAGGAATATCAGGAATGGGTGATAAAGCTTCATCAGGACCTAAAGAATCCCAGCAACAGCTCAGTCAGGTATTTAATTCCTCTGTGATACTTACTTTCATCTGTAATAGTTCAAAGTAATTGCTTTATATAATCTTCATTTCAGATTAGCCATTTAAATAGGATAATCAAAGCAAATCAAAGGCAAAGAAACCATCATAAGTAAATACTTATATTAGGAGTTTCTTCATTGTGTAATGTTAAAACTTTCCTGTACCAGAAAGTGTTGTAATGCATTAAACTACAACTTGAGCTGAATGGACTTTTCTCCTATTTTGCCTTTATTTACAGTATCTGTCTTTAACAGAAAGCCTTGTGAAATGGTGTTACCACTTAAGGATGTTCTGCAGAATAATTGTAGCTCAACAAATGATAACAGTGTAACATGTTTTGAATTAATAAGAGTCCCTCTTTCTTGTTTTGTTTTACGTATATATCACTGGACAGCTAAAAAAATAGAATTTTTTAGTGTGAACGCTTGTGAGAGTTGAATGAAAAGCTTTCTGATTGAGGAAATAGCAGGGAAATCAGAATTTGTAACTTGGAGATCCTTATTCTTTATAATTAGTAACCATCAGCTTTGCTGCTGATAGGAAAATAGAAGTAAAACCTGATGCTTTCTCATGCCTCAGGTTAGTAGAAGAGCCTGTCTGAGTAGATTGAGGTGGATGCAGTAAGGAATGTATGGGAAACACAGCACCTTTGAACAAAGTAGATGCCAGTGATAAGAGAAGACAGGCATGGATCATAATATGTGAAATAGTTCATCACTTTCTCTTGAGTGTTTTCTTTTGGGATAAGGAAGCTGAGTGTATGGAACATGAGGGAAGAGAGAGAGGAGGGGAAATGCATTAGAAGGTGATGCTGTATGTTAAGATTTCTCACTACTTTTCTCAGGATTTTGTTGTCTGTGAATTTATGTTTTGGAAGTCTTTTGCAGTTCTCAGATTAGTCCTAAAATGTCTTAGGACTGCATAGCTCACAAGCAAGCTGGCCTCTTTCTAACCTAGTGACCAGGTAAAGCATCACTGCAGTAGTGACAGCCTGCTGAATCTCTAAGCCCTGTCCTAAAATATTTTTCCACAAAATTTTCACGATAGCATTGTTGATTTTAAGCCATGAGGCTTTAAAGATAGTGAAATTACAAAGGCTATTCATACTTATGACTGTCAACCTCTTACCATGTTCTGGCCTTTACTACTGTAAAATAAGACCAAGGTGAAGTTGCTTAGAGCTGAAAACTAGAAAAAATATACTGCTAGAGGTCCAGGGACAAGGACCTCTGGGAGGGAGGAAGGATGTTTCGGCTTCATAATCTTGGATGCTTATAACATACGTGAAGTGATAGTATTTTAATCATTACACTCATATGCAGTAGTGGAAACTGTGATCTCTCTGTGTTGAGTCCTGAAAACTACAGGTCCCTAAAGCATTTGAAAATCATGCACAGGAAGTCTGTCCTAGGGCAGCTAGAAGCTTAGAGAGAGAAAGATAAAACGCGTGCGTGTGTGTTACACAGATATATATACATATGAGATATATATATGTACACACATTTTTATGCACCTAGTTGCTTATATGTGTGTATGTATATATCAATGGTATATCTCAGTTCTACCTCACTGTTAAGCCTCTGCAATTAATGGAATTGCTTGCAGGTTTATAAAACACCTTTGAAGATTAGGCACTTGGAAAACAAAGAGAAACTTTTCATTAATGCAGAAACAAATTGGAGAGATGTTCATGTTCTTTCATGTAGCAGAAACAGTACTTATATTCCTTTTTACCAGATAGTTGAGTCTAGGAAAAAAATTAAAACTGTTATATGAAATATTTCCTTCTAGTTTGAACACTGCGGAGCATTTGATTTGGCTTTTTTTAACCTCTCATTTTGTGTGAGGACAAAAGAAATGTTTTATCTAGTAACTTCATAAATAAGGCTTTAGTTATTAGAAGTATGCTGTGAAGAATTATTTTTTTCCCTTTTATTCCTACGTTCTTGTTATAACTTGGTATTGTGATTTTTATTTCTCAATCTCAAAATGCTTTACAAATAAGCTAGATGATAAATCTGACAGTTGAGTCTACTCTTTCTGCTGGTATGCTTCAAGAGTATTGCATGCCAGAAAGGTAAAACTTCAGCTGAGTGGAGTTCATTCCTATAGGTTTTTTCTCTTGATTTCTGAGACTTGCTGAGAAAACTTTGGTTAGCTTTCACAAAATATTATTGGTCTTGAACAGAAATTACGATAATCTTTTCAATAAGTTTCTCATTCTTTTAGTGATGAAATTAAGGTTCAGCCCAGCCAGCTGAGAGAATCTGTAGAAGGAAATGGAAGAATTTATGAAGAGCAAAGACTGTTAGAAGAAAGTTTTACTATTCACTTGGGTAAGTAAACTGACACCAAAACCAAAAATAGTGACAGATGCTAATAAATAATGTATCTAAGCCATGTGTTATGTCAGTGTATATAATATATACAGTTGGTAATTGTTTTGTATTTGTTCTTTACATATATAAGAGAAGTACAGTACAGTCTAAACTATATCAAAGAGTATCTAGCTACCTGAAATATACTTAATGGAAAACATTCGAGAAGCAACTTTTTATCACCTCTAGCAAGGTGACTAATGTGGAAAAGCACACTAACATCAAAACACATTGCAGTTAAAAGTTAAAATATAACTTTTCTTATGTTTGGTAAGAAAATGTAGGAACTAAATCCAGTTCCCGTGATCAATTAACAGCAAAATAGATACTTAAAATTTTTATTTTTTGTTTATGCACTAGAGACTTTTTATGTTCTCTGTTTTGACTGCATTAGTGTTTCAGCCACAGCCTTATAATAGGGAACAAGGCTCATTTCTGGTATAGGTAAGCCTTGCTTTGTGACAGTATATGAAAATAGTGCATTTTTACTCTTTGTAAATTGCTGATATGTATGTAAAACTGTATGTATGGTTAAGAACTTTTTGAGTGGTTTTGACTGTATTTCCCTTTATAGATCTTTTTCACAAAACTTAGAGCAGCACTTTGTTACCTTGCATTTTAGTAACAGTCCTGAGTTTCCTCTTTTACTATATGTATTAAAATCATTTATATTCTATACAGGAGCTCAGTTGAAGACCATGCATAATTTGAGATTACTGAGAGCTGATATGCTGGATTTCTGTAAATACAAGCGCAGTCATCGAAGTGGAGTAAAACTTCACAGGCTTCAAACTGCAATGTCTCTCTATTCAACTTCTCTCTGTGGCCTGGTTTTATTAGTAGATAATCGTATCAGTTCATATAGTGGCATCAAAAGAGGTGAGTACTCTAATGAGGTATATCATGTCAGTGAAAACAAATGTCACCTAAAAACTTGATATCTTCTCTCACAAAAAAATATTCCACGTAAAATTTAAATTTACTGGAGACCCAAACGTTTTGGACATGGTATTGCAAGAGGATAACAAATGCAAAGAGAGTTATAGATAACGATGGGGGACAGTTGTGCTCTGATATGCTGTTACCTCTCATCTCTTTCCTAGGTTTTGTGTTTGAGTAAAGAACATGTTAGAGTGAACACTTAAGTGTTGATTTCCCTCCCTTAGGCTGACTTGGTGTAGGGGCTTCTAACTCTGTAATGTCAGATTAGCATCCTGAAATCTATGTGGAAAGATGAAAATTAAATATAAGATTTTAAATTTATAGTTAAATGTATAAAAATACCATGTGCTTTAGATATCTGCAGCACTATTAATTCCATTAAAAATGAACAATAGGAGTATTACTTTCCTACTCCTGCAAAGCTTGACTAGTAGGCATTTTAAGTGCATGCCTTTTGAGTAACTGGATACTATGATGGTGTTCTGTATCGGGGTTAATCAATGAAACGTGTTCATTCCTGTTCCAATTCCAGTCACTGAGGCTTTCTCTGAACCACATTAGTGGATTTCCCACCTTCTTCTTGAAGCTTAATACCAAAATATTTATATTTGAAGTATATTTTTGACTGGAGGCACTGTTCCTTGCCATTATTCTAGCATGCCATAAAAAAAATGGACTTTGATGGTTGATATTTTCTGAAAACAGTGTGGAATCAGGCTTGTAGCAAGAAGGAAAGGGAAATGTACCAGTAAAAATTGCAGTTGAATTTGTGCTGCTTATGGTTTCCAAGTTGCTTAATTCTGACAGTATTATTTCATACCTGTACTCTTTCAGTTACTCTTTTTTTTTTTACTGCTTAAATATTAAATTAATAACAAATAGAGAAGATTTGGTTTTATGCTAAATCTTAAGTGATAAGAGAAGATGGACATTTAAGTAATACCGTTAAACACAAAATTGCATCTTCTAGTCACCAATTAGGTCTTGCAGCCACAGTAGAGGTGAAAATAAGGGTCTGTATCACAATATGTAATATACAATCCTCAATAAATTTTGATTTCTTTGAGTTCTGATGGGACTTTGGCAAACTTAACTCTGGGAATTTCCACAGCTGTCTGCACCGCCGCTCTTTTTTAAAATGTTGCAGAAATTAGTGTGTGTCATGTCTCAGCTTCTCTGACCTAGTCAGATATATTACATTAGCAAATGTCTGGTTGTACTGAGACCCCAGACCACTGTGGGTGGCAACTGAGGTTTGGGCACATTTTTTTAAATCTACTCTGTGGTGACAGTGGTAGCTTCTGGCGGAAGAGCAGTAATAAACACCTTTGAAAGGAGACTTTGCTATTAAACTGACAGAGCTGTTTGTTGCAAGACCACTAGCCAGAACCAATTCTCCTTCCTAAAAGGCTCTTTAAGAAATAAACACATCAGGGGGTTCAAAGGTTCATAAAATTGCTATATAGAAGACCTTTAAATAATATGTTGATGCTATTGTTTAAATAGAGAGGTTGTGGCTTGTACAGTCTGAATTTCTGGGTTACGAAAGTGCAGAAACAATCTTCTGTTTCCATTTTAAAGCTCATGAAAAATATAAACCTTGTGATGGTCTGGAAGCTCCCTCAAATCTCTGAAATTTTCCGAGGTAGTTGGATTAAATGAGCTTCATGTGAGCACATGATTTATCTAAACATTTTACGCTGTTTTAAGCAACACCAGTCACTTGGCAAGCACTAAGCAGAGATATGAAGTCCTGCAACTTACTTGGTTGACCTTGTTTGTTTTGTAAGCTTCCTTGGGATAGAGCTAGTGTGCTTCATGTTGCATATTTTGTTCCTTCTGTTGTGTCCGGCAAATATTTTGATGTTGCATCTTTGGTAAATCTGTTATTCAAAGATGGTTCCATTTGTCGCAAAATTCAGGATGTATGTGAGATATTTGCAAGACTGAAAACCATTACTGCAATGATTTCTGTATTTCTTACAATGTGTAAATGGCAACTAGTAAAATGTACCTTTGAAATTGGATTTGGATATGTCGAGAGCAGCCATGAACAGAAAGTCGAACTTTTGTGAACTTTCAACATGCTAATTTCATTGAGACTGTTTTTTCTAAGCTAGATGAATAATTTCTTTGTATACATTATATTGACGCGTTGCCTGGCTCAAATCTCTTATATTAGGACTTTGCAGAGCTACTGCGACTCGGTTTTGAGTAGGTGTAGCACATTCAGATAAATGACAAACTAAAATTAAATTTTGAAAAATCTCTCGTATTTAAATTATTTGTTTAAAATGAAATGTCTTGTGACCTTATTTTATCTCGATACACACAGAGGTCACAATCTTTTTGAACATGAGCTTATTCCTCCCTTGGTTTTAGACTCCAGAATTTAATAAAGCCTTTTGAAAATAGGTACTATGATGGAGACTTCACTTAAAAAGATAAAATACATTACGATTTTTGTCTCTACCCTGCCTGTTCCTCTTGCAGCCTGTTCCCAGGGGTACACTGTGCTCTCCAGATAGGCAATCAGAGTACATGAAGAACTTTAAGGAGGACTAGAGCAGGTACCTCAAACCAGGAAGTAAGCAGCAATTGGTTAGTGTAGTCTTGCTCCTTGCTAATGGCTTGTTTTGGTTCCCAGTGACTTTCTTGGAGTGAAGGCTGGACATGAGGATAAGGAGCTTAGAATACCAGTCACAGAGGCAGTATGTTATGTTCCTAATTATCATTATAAGATTTCCAAGTCTGACATAACACTTCCCTATCAGGAAAAGGAGCTTGCAGCTCTTTTCAGCTGATGACGCTTTTCTTTCGTTTTCAGACCTGTGTTTTGCGAACTAAAAGGAAAGAACTGTACTTCCAGCTTTTCAGATAAGCTGTTTACAGATTTCATTAATAGCTCTCATTTTTCAAAGCAAACTGGAATGCTGTTGTTGCTGTTGGAACTATCTATTATGTACGTTTCAATAAAGTATCACGGGTTCGCGGACTGTTAGTAATAAGACATCATTTTTAAAGCACAGTTACATTTAATGCACATATCTTATTGCTGTTATTTTGGGGTTTTTTTTGGTCTGGGTGGTTTTCTTTAAAGAGCATCAACACTCAAGGTTTTTTTTTTTTTCCCCAAGTGAAACATTTTTTGAAAGAAATTCTTTGCTGTAAATTTTGTAGAATTTAAAGAGGAGTACAGCAGGGGTTTGTCTGTTTTTGGGGGGTTTGCGTTTGTAACTGGCCTTGCTTGAACAGTAGAGCAGAATTATGTAATGTTACTAAGCACAGCCTTATGACCTGGATTTTAATCTTTTTTTTTTTTTCCTAGATTTTGCCACTGTTTGCCAAGAATGCACAGATTTCCATTTTCCTGGAATTCAAGAACAGCTTGAAATTGTCCAGAAGGTTGTGCTTAAGGCCAGAGCACAGCGTAGCAGTAAGTCGAAAAGACATCATGGTCAGTGACAACCAAAATTACTTTCCTTGAAATAGAATAGTGGTCAGCTGAATGTTTATGGTTACGGGCAAGTTGATTTCACTTTTCTTCAGTTACCTGATCTATAAAATGGAATGTTCAAGTTTATCAATAAACTCTGAGAAGTCTGCATTAAATTCTGTCTTCACAGACAGCAAGTTCACATGATGTCTTTGTTGCCATAACGTTACCAAAAAAAAAAAAAAAAAAATTATTTAGAAGTCCTTAGGTTCTGATCAGACTTTACAGCCTGGGAAGTGTATGGGGCCATCATGCTTTCCTCTGCAGTTTAAACTGCCCGTAGCACCACAGACTTCATCTGACTTAACGTTTTTATTTCTATTTAAATACAAAGCTTTAAAAATTGCAGAAGAGGGGTTATGACTTTTTCCCTTCCTTAAAAGTGAATGCTAAAAACCAAATAATAAATTGACTAAATCTGTTGTCATAGTCTGAGCACATCTGTATACCTTTTAGTGCTGACCAAATCCTTGTGAATGTTTTACTTTGCAGTTATATTTACAAAATGGCTGTGAAATTATCTGACCACATGGTGTTAAGGCAGTACTTGTACATCATGAAACTTTGTTTTTCTTGCAGAGAACTACGTACGTGATTTAAGTACGTCAGTAACATGAATAGATTTGTAAGAGTACATAGAGAAACAAGTTTTCTTAGGAACCTGCATATTGCTCTAGTCTTGAGGAAAATACTGAAATCTGGTTTTGTACTGCTGGTTTATGTAGATCTCTTTAAAATTTTTCTTGTCATACTAGAAACAAATTTCTTTTAAGTAGTTACATTATTTAAAAAACAATAGCAAGGTATTATGTAGTTGTAGGGGCAATTTGGAAAGCGTAGTCTTATGTCTGAGAATCCTGTTTTGTCAAAATGAAGAGGTATTGTCGGATGGTTAAGTAAGAAACCTAATGACTTGAGATGGGGTTCAGTTCAGTGTCTACTGAAAACAGCAGAAACACTTCCTGTCCATCTCCTGGCTTTTGGGGGACTTTATGGTAACAATTCAAGGCAGCTATCATCTGTACTTCAAGCTTTCATGCCAAAGCATAATTAGTAGACTACATGTTTAATATTTGTGCTACATATTTATATACAGAAAACAAGAGTAGTGGAAATGAAGATAAATTAAAGAATATTGAACGAAACCAGTCAAATATTTTGCCGGGTGAGTTCTGTTGCATTTCCCCCCTCTTCTTAAAGCAAATTGTGTTTTATAGATGCACATTTTTAGCTCTAAAGTCAGAACATAAATTATAATTATAACTAAACCCGAGTTGACCTCAATCAGAGGAGAAGGATGTTCTTGTGGCTAAGGCAGAGAACTGGGTGTCAGGACATCTGGTTTCTATTCCCAGCTTTGCCATTGCATCATGTGACTTGGGGCAAATCACTTAACTTCTTTATGCCTAAAATTTCTTTTCAGAATTTGGGGGTGAAAAAAAATCTCTGAGCATCTTGGGAAAAGGTGAAACTTAAATACTAGCAACTAATTTTATTTTTGAAAACAATTATACGTTTGTCACTGGTTTTAGAATTATTTTTTTAACTTTGAGAATGTTCGAATCCATTCCTCTCGAGGAAGTATCTTATATATATTTTGTGATTTTTAATAAGGAAAGCTTCTGTGGAATTTGAAGATGAATACACAGTTGGAGGGGGGAGGAGTTAAATCCATACAACCCATGGTTGAATAAGAGGGCTTAAAATTGCTTTCATGATTGTCTTAGATCTTGTTAGTATAAGTGGATTATAAATCAGTTTGGGTCCTTAACAGATAAATCTGGGTGAATCTTGTGGCAGTGGCTGGTGTGTTACTGCTCTTAGATGATCATCGCTGGGGATTGCTACCTCCTTAGCAGTCATCAGAAAGGAGTACATAGCCATTCTTCAGCTGTCCCAGTACAAAGGCAGTGTCTTCACTTAAATGACCAGTGAGAATAGGTCTGAAGAAAGGTGTTTATCTGTTGACTGAAACAGTAGGGATGTTGCGTATCTGCTTTTCAGTTGACTCTAGGACAGACTTTTGATCTCCCTCAGAAAGGTGAGATGGAGACACTGGCATTTCACTGGCCCTTACTCTTGTTCTACCTTTGATTAAATGAATACCAAGTCTAAAAATCCCCTCAGCGAGATGTCGTGGTAGCTTTTGGCAAACAACTCTGTAACTGTTCTTCCCATTACTATGAATTACTTTAAATTCTAACGATCATCAATACCTTTGCATTCCAGTACATATCTCAGCTGTTACATAACCCGCTATCTTTTTCCTCAGGCTTTTTGCATCCTTTATTTTAACCCATCCATTTTTGGTATTTCCGCCTCCCACATCTGTCTGCAATTCAGTGCTTATATTATACATTTGGAGTATTACACCTCCTCTGTGTTTGTTTTTCTGTTTCATGCTATATATAGATCATATCCGCCTGTACTGGCACTGTTATGTCTTATTACACCAGGTGTCCCTGATGCCAGTGAAACCCATCAAAGCAGGAAAGTGAGTGTAGGATGAATGTAAAACAATGATATTCCAAGAGATTTTAGATCAGTGGGTTTTTAACTTTTTTTTTTTTCTCCTTATGTATATGTTCTGATCTCTCTTGTATATTTGTATTTGCCTTTTGTCTTTACTGACCCTGTCCTTACATTGCCTAACAATTATATTTCAGTACAGACCACTACCGTGATATCTTGCATTCTTGGTTTATATTATTCTCTAGGAGAATTCTACATCACGCGCCATTCAAATCTGTCTGAAATTCATGTTGCTTTTCACCTCTGTGTGGATGATAACGTAAGATCTGGTAACGTAACTGCTCGGGATCCTGCTATCATGGGACTCAGAAACATTCTCAAAGTTTGCTGCACGCACGACATTACTACCATTAGTATTCCTCTCCTGTTGGTGCACGATATGTCAGAAGTAAGTAAATACAAAGATTTTGTTTGGTTTTATCTTCTAGGATGCAACAAAAGTGACTTTTGCAAAGGGCGTTTCAAGCTGGTTTAAGCCAAATGGCACAGTTTATCCCAGTCACATGCTCCTGCCATATCACTGTGCTGGCACCCATCTATATGGTGACCCAAATTAAGGAACTGAACCAGTTAAAAACATTTCAGCCAGCTGAATCACTTTTGTGTTGTGTTTGTTTTTTTTTATTTATTCCCACCCCTCATTCGGGACACTTCACTTCTTTGGTTCAGCTCATCATGCAGTTGTAGAAGTATTAGTGAAAGATGGGGCTACATGCCTGGAAGTCTTCTGGCAGCAGCTCTTGCTTAGAAATTATACCTTCAGAGTTGCTGATGAGATAGTGATACCAGATCCCCAGTTTTAATTGTTGCTAGGTAGAAAACCTTAAAACTAAGTTTTATGAGTAGCAGAACTAGTGAAGCTTGGCTTGGAGTTCTGCAGCCCTAAACACCACTATCACCTCAGCCCTACGCAGCAGCAACCAAATTCCACTTTTGCTCTGAACTGTCTCCTCCTTCACTGCCTAGTCACTTGCATCCTCAATTTCTGTCCCTTTTTACTCTAAGTCACCCAGGTATCAGCTGGACAAGAAGCTGAGGTTTCTTGTAGATACGAGTGTGCTTACTTACTGTGCTGAGCTTTTGTATTCTCCAGTGGGATGCTGAATGTAAAGCTTGTCTCTTACTCAGTTGTAACTTTTCACAGTGCATAGTAATTTAATACCATTGACAACCTCCTTCCTCTGTCACATCTGAACTCAAAGGAAACTAGCAGAGAAGAAAAGAGATAGGGAAGCAGGGAGAATAGTGGTGGACAGGCAGTCTAGTCATATGCTTCACCTCCCTAGGAGGTGAAAAGTCTATAAACTTAAAGAAATTAAAAGAATAAAATAGTGTTGCCATCAGTGATACCCTTGCATGGATAATTCTAGTCTGTTGTGGGGTTTTTGTAAACAACCCTTTGATTTTTCATTTTTAAATTTCAGTACCGCCTTTCCTTCTTTAAAAGTGCCTTACTCATAACAAAATAAAGGCTCACCAGTGGATTACCTTTAACAGTGACTTTTTTAATAACAGAATTTCATTGGAACATGGCGTAGAAGTGGCCCAATTTTGTAAGATCAGGTTCTATTATTGTGAAAGTGCAAGCAGTGCAGAAGTTAAAAATGTCCAATAATATAGCTTCTAACGGATATATTTCCATACATAAAAGTAGACTTTTATGAACAGGTGACACTATTTCTGAAATTTTTCATCTCTTACTGCACAAACTCAAGTAATCAACTTGCAGGACAGCAGCCTGGGATACTCATAGGACCCAGTTACTGTGTTTCATAAATTTATTGATCTCTTTTCTTGATCATGTTGCCATCTGATTGTATTCTTTTTCTCTTTTCTTTTAAACCTTGTTAGCTTTAGCTTTCATTTGCATATCTGTATTTTAAAATACAAATAAAGCACAAGACCAAGTGTTCCACGAGCTTTGAGAGTGTGTTGTTGCTTGGATGTATGAAACTGAAGAATTATCTTCTTGTCTAGCTCTGGATTCTTAAAAGGTCCTAGTAAAGCAACTTACCTTTTATATAAGTCTTTGCAGAGTAAGCAGAAAGGTGACCTGTATAAGTGTGTGTTTAGCCAAAACTGCATTGTGTGAATTGCATTAGCAGCATTGCTTATTACAGTGTTTTGCAGCTGGCTGACCTAATTTGAAACACAGAAATATGTAGCTTGTTGTTGAGGGAAAAGTGAATAATAACAGATTTCTGAAAGTTAACCTGAACTTGGTGCCTTCAGCAACCCCAGTTTTGAATCTGCATTTACCACCTACGTAAAAACATTTTTGTAAAGTGGTTAACCAGGAGCACAGCTGCAGAGATGTTTGCATGCTTCACTGTGGCAGGCATTCATCATGAGTTTTCTCTGTGCTTTTCCCAAAGGTTGTTTTCTTTTGTGGATGGAAGAATGGTGTTTATAACCTTACAGAAGTAATGAGTCTGTCAATCTCAATGAAGCCATTACATTTCATTATTTATGCAAAAAAATTAGGGATTCTGTTTTCCTTAGTTTTTCTTACGACAAGAACAGCGAAAACATTTCTCTCTTCTGATCATTAAATTAAACAAAGGAAAAAAACTAGGTTTGATACTTGAGACAGCCAAAAGCAGACAAGTTTCAATTCAGGACAACTAAGGCATTACTGTCTGACCTCTGTTTTGGATTGAGTAGAAACTGGGAAGTGAAATGGATCTAATAACATGGCATCACTAAAATTGCTAGAGCTGGCACACTTCCTTGTTAGTTTCATCATAGGAGCCATTGCTCCTGTCCACACAGCAACACTGAGAAAAATGTGGCTCTAGGGACCTCAGGCAGCTGTCTCTATTATTACCATAAGTTAAGACAAAAATGTTTTTGAGAAAAGTAGAAATAAAGGGAGTATAAGCTCTGTAACAAATATTTATGAACATGATTTATTTATATAGAGAAATTAAGTGTGTTAACCTCAAATGTTTTTCATCTGAATTTCCTGCCTTTACATATATAGCAGCTCATACAGTGTTTAGGATTTATGTAGATATACTTGGAGTAAACATCTTGCTAATTCTTAACTTACTAAAATTAGCCACTGAAATTTGCTTTGGTTTCCCTGTCCTGCAAGACACTTAGAGACTTCAGTGTTCTCATTAACTGGTTACAACATGGTTCTGCAACGGCATAAGCCCTTAGCTTTATAAAAGTGGCAGCCCCGTATAGCAAGTCTGTCACAAATTTCTTTGAATAACAAGGTTTGCAGCATATCTTTTTAATCAGTGAAGCTGCCACACCCCCCCTCTTTTTTTTTTTTAATCAGAAGAAATTTTAATTTGAGAACAAATCATTGCATCCTAAAAAAGGAGTGGGGTATGGTCTCTGCTAGTGAACAAATCCAAAAGTCCCAGGTAGTTTTTTACTTGCTTGAATGCTATTAACCAAAACTCACTGTGGTGATGGGGTGTCTGCTTTCTTTTTTCCCCTGTCCCCTGCAGTGTATTTTGAATAGGTACTTAACTGACCCTTCATCATCTCCACAAATGTTACTTAGTTTGCATGTAGAGAAAAGTCCTGATAACATGGCAAAATCATGAGAATGTACTTTTTTAAAGATGGATTAGAATTGAATCACTACTGTGTCATTTTCAGTTCTTGTGGTTTGCATGGAGTAACATTCTAGATTCAACCTGTTATTTCCCTGAGTGCCCACAAGATTTAACATCTATGTTCCTCTGAAATAGTCCAAGGACTAGTGTCATATCCTGCTGTTTTGATCAGTCTTTTTAAGACTTAGTTCCCTTTATTGATTACACAAGGTACTCCTGACTTGCCTTTAGAGCAACAGGGCCTTTCTTTGTAGACAACAGTGATCAAAACTAACAATAAACTACTACATTACTTGTGACAGCACACATTTTAACAAATGAGCATAACATAATTATGTAATAACAGAAATTATAACAAAGAGCAAGTGTTTCTTCCAAATAGCTTAGACTTAAAAAAAAAAAAAAAAAAAGAATTGTCCAGCATTGTTTTGTCAGATTAATGTGTTGTCTACCCTGAAAGCAGTATCTATTGGTGCAGTGATACACATAATGAAAGTTTTCTGAAAAGATATTTCTAGCGTATGCTGTTATTAACATATTATGTATTTTGGGGATGGCAGGAGATACCCCCACCTAAGTAGGGACTTAGGCTTTCGATAGTTGTTTAATGTAGCCACATTCAGTATACTATTACAGTGTTATCAGTTGGCATTCTTAGATAACCTTGTATCTCAAATACCTTCTTTTAATCCTGAAATTAAGCTCTTTGATAATGGCAGATTGCACAGTGTTTGGCATTGCAAAATAAAGTCTGGCTTTACTGAATAGAAAATTATGTAAAACTTAAATGTGACAAGGTACATAGAATGATAAATTTGCTGCAACATCTATCTTCCTGTATTCAGACTAGAAAGTGCTCATTTTCACGTGGAAGAGTACATCAGAACAAATAAGTACTATTTTATTTCTGAGAAGTGTTTACAGCGCCAGTCCTTCTGTTTGACTAAGAATATTCATCTTGATATAATTCACTCTGTAGCATATAGCCAAAGAACGTTCAGTGTACTAAAGCATTTAAACTGTTACTTAATTTTTTTTTTAGACCAGTGCTCATAAGGCATATCTTAAGATATCTTAAATCACTGTGGTTTTCATATCCCATCTTGGTATTTAACTTTAGGTAAGGATTTGCTCTCTGTTTATATCTGAAACTCCTCCATCAGATGAAGATGGATTTTGTTTATCTTAACTCTTAATATAAATGCCTCTTTAGGGAAGAAGGGCTTCTTCCAGTTCCAGTATTAGAGAGAAGGTTTTTACGGAAGACGGCAGGTATGCCAATAGACCTTAACTGGAATCATCAAGAATAGCTGGGAATCGCCAGTTACTGCTGTTAAGATGTGGTCAGGAGCCTGTCTCTGGCTAGCTGAAGCACAAATCCGACAGTTATCCATTGGATATTATACATTTTTCTGAAGCTCCACGGGGTAATTAAATAGTCCAGTTTCCAGTGACATTAATAGGATTGTCAACAGTATTTCTATTCAACACCTCAGCTTAAAAATGTATAGATTGTTCTGGCACTGGGCTCTCCTACCAGTAAGCGGTGCCGGTGACTTTATGATCACCTATAAGGTGTATACCACCTGCCTAGAATACTGTGGAAAACAAAATCCCTCTTTATGTCCTGTAATGCTGCTTGAACACCTGCTGGGAAGATGGGGTTCTAGGGCAAAAACCTATTACTAAAAATAACTTCCCTGCTACTCTTGTTGGTTAGATCCATCGGGCATTGAGGCTTTTGGTTTATTATTTTTCAGGAGATGACCATTCCATGGTGCTTGAAGAGGGCAGAGCTTGTGTTCAAGTGCGTCAAAGGTACGTTAGTGAGTACTTCATCTGGGGTTTTTCATGCTGCATGTGATGACATCCGGCCTTAGCTCAGGCTGTATGTTTTCTAAGAAAAAAGTGTTTTCCAATAATCTATTGTTTGTTAAATCTTACACTTATATTTTCTTTTTAAAATTATTAACTGTCATACCAGGAAATAGTCTCAGACACTTAGACTAGAGAGTAAAAGTGTTTTGAAAGTATCTTTACAACTTAAGCATAGACATTAGAAGTAAAAGCCCCTACCGCTGCTTTGAGCGGTCTCTGAGGAAGGGTAGGAGCTGCTGGTTCATGACTGTATAATTTCCAGTGTCTTTTGTATCTTGATTGCTTCAAACAATGAGGACTCTGCATTTTTTTCCAAGACTAGTTTATACTCTAATTCATCTCTTTGCTGGAAAGTTCTCATGACTCAGCTTGGTTTTCTAACTTTCCAAGTGGTGTTATTTACTGCATTCTTGTGTGCTGCACTTAAATACTTGAACCAGTCATTCAGAGGATTTAAAATGTTAGTAGTGTTAATGTTCTTTCTGCCACCCACTTGAGGAACCTCTTGCTATTGTGACCTTTAGTAATTCACAATGGAATATCATCCAAGTAAGTGCTGTCATCAAATAGGTATTTTTCTGAGTATCTTTATTTGCCACAAGTGTGTTCCTGTGGACCTTGGAGTTCATTTGTAAGGAAAAGCTAGAATCAAAATGCCATATTGTATCTTGAGCAATGAATGAGTGGTGAGCTTTTTCCATATAAGTAGGTCCAGGTAGTTTCTGCAGCTGCCAGATTGTCATGTACTTTTGGCAACAGGATTGTACTCATTCAAGTGGCTGTGGTTTCATCCGAGCTAAAGGAAAGCGCTATTTCTCAATGAAAGCAAGCCATTCAAAAAATTCATAACACAGATTTGGAGAAACCTCTCGCTTCTGCTGGCTAGCACTGTGCTGTACAGTAGGGCTGGTTACTCTGCTCTTCAGGGGTATATTGATTTTTTTTTTTTTCTATACCTCCTCATTGGATTTTCCAGTTAAAGCAGATTTCAGTCAGGAGATTGGCCAAGTCTGATTTAAATGCAATTAATGACATCTCTAGTTAAGGCAGTTAAAATCCTAATTGTATGTGAAAACTCCCTCACTGCTTGGTAATGGTGTAATTGATGGGGAAGACTGCATAGGTAATGCATATAGTATGAATGCTGTTTTTAGGTTTCATGATGGAAATGGCCTCGTGGGATGGAGGAATTTCTCGGACTGTACAGTTCTTGGTACCACAGGTAGGTTGAAGCAAGTTCATATCCAACCTAGTTGGAACAACAAGTTAAATGTCAGCAGATCTAGTTTTGATTTCTTTGTTATGCCCTGCGCTTTTTTGTTTGAGCTTGAATTAATTACTGTGGTTTTTATTCCTTGCCTATAAAACAGGAATAAAAATAACAGGTTTATATTTTTGGATATCCTGTAGTATCTTCTAGGGATGCTAAAATTTCAAAGTGGGTTGTTCACCTTTACAAATGGTGAATACTTCATCTTTGAAAAAGATATTTTTTTGCTATTATTTACTCTGAAGAGGGGGGCTAATCTTGTGTTACTTAAGTTTAGGTGTTTATTTATCATGTTGTCTAACAACTTGGAAAGTTGCAATACACTGATTTCTGTCATGGTTCCACAAAGTCATTAATGTCTCCAGGTATTTGAAGTTAATTGTAATTAAGATTCTGAAATTATTTAATTTGGAGTTCTAGGTGATCTAGTTTTCCAAGGGGGGACAGCACTAAGTTTTATTTGTTTTAAAAAGTGGTATTGGAAGTGATATAAAAATCAGTAGTTATATTGGGAAAGAAGTGACGTGTTTCTTGAGAAAGTAGTAAACTGCTGAGCAAGGAGGAAGCCAGGAATAAACTAAGTGCTGAAGTTGAATCTAATCTTGTAATTCAGAGAGCAGGAGTCGTGTAGGTAACGAACAGCACTGTCCTGCTTATGCTAGGCAGAAATAATCAATTACTGGAACAAGAAATCTCCTGGAAACACATATGTCCCATAAACAGTATTTTTAGGTCAATCTTTTCCTTCTGATTGAATTAAATAGAATTATAACACATAGTTTGAAAACTGTCTTCGTGGTCTTCTGAAAAACAGCAGTTCTCTTAAATGTCAAGAAACAAAGTTGAGAGAGACTTCTTCCAAACTACAGCAAAAAGCCAAAATTTACTGGTGTGTTTTTGGGGTGGTTTTGTGTTCTTTTTTTCCAGACAATTTCTGAGGAAATGTTTTACCAACTGAGTAATATGCTTCCCCAAATCTTCAGAGTATCCTCTACATTGACTCTGACCTCTAAGCACTGAATTTTGTGCGGCAGCAAAATGTATCCTGTTGACAAAGGATGAGATTGCAGAGATCCGGGACTGTAATGTCACTCTTCTGAGGGATGATGACCCTGAAGTGGCAATTGTTGCACTTTCAAGAATCATGTAATCGTAATAAAAGATAAATGCTATCTGTACTTGTGTGTTAGCAGTTGATTTTTGAATTCCTCAGCTTTATCTGAGAGACATTCAATATAACTTATTGTATGTAATCTACAGAAATATATAGGTGATCCTCATACTTAAGTAGTAGGAATAAGAGCTGATGGTGGGAATAGGATCTTCTGGGTGGTGGTTGAGTTTTAAAAACATTTTCTGAATTTGGTCAGCGGCACTTAAAAAATTTTGAGCAATGCCAGGTGTCTCCTTGGAGTAACTTTGACGTAATTTGTCATGGTTGTCTTTCCAGCATCACAGTGACCACAAAATAAAATGTGTTAACTGCCCCATTTTACTGTTACAAAATGAAAGACATGAAACAAGCATTTAACCGGCTGCATTTTGTAAATCATTAAATTGTTTTTTAAAAAAAAAAAAAAAAAAATGAATACATGTGGCAATAATGAGAATTTTTCATGATTTCTTCCTCCTCTTTAAGTACGTTAACTAAAAAAAGCCCCCACATTGGGAACTGCTTTTTTCCCCCATCTTGGCCAGGCAAGCTTTTTGAACTGGGCTGCAGAGGCAGGCGGCTGGAGGCACTCCTGCAGCACAGGGCCTGGCCCCTGGGCACGTCCTGTCTCAGGCTGCGCTTCTGGGGGCTGCTGGAAGAGAAGGGCTTGCAGCAGAGCCGCTGAGGTGGCTTCCTCAAGTCCACGGTCCTGTTCCGTAGGAAGCACGGGGGTCCTGGCAGAGCTGGCTTGGAGTCTGAGGGCTGCATTGCTGAAATTCTGCACTTGAAAACCAGAGATCCTGGATGCCACGTAAAAACCAATTTATTTTCAGTTCTCAGTGTGACTATTTTTTTTTATTCTTATTACTATTTAGTTTGTTAAATTTGAAGATTGCAAAGCTCTGTTCTGGGGAAACTGCATAATTTAAAATTAGCACAGAGAAGCAAAATTAATAATGGAGTTATCAATAAATTTCGAAAATACTTAGAATTATTAAAGTTAATAAGGTTATTAATCAGTTCATTATATTTATAAAGTCAGTATGTAATTAATGATCTCTTAGCTTAGTATTTTTATTGGGTCCGGCATGCTGTACAGAAGCCATGTAAGTGACCCAGCAAGCATTTATTGCTGAACTGTCAAATGCTTTCTTTTCCTCTGCCAGCAGCTTCTAAAGAAGAATCATGCGAGTAGTGTGACCTAATTTGGTGTTCTAGAAAAGAAGGATGTAAATTCATCTAGAAGGAGCTGGATTAATCCTGTTCAAGCTCATTTTACATTGCTGGCCTTAAGCTGAAATCAAACTCTGGTCCCAGAAAAGCAAGTGCTCTAACCACTCTTCTGTCTGTGAAAGGTGTGGTAGCAGAAGGATTCCTTTTTGTCAGCTGTAAGACTTATCTGTGTTGTAACAGACTTTTTTCACATACTCGGTACTTTATTTTTTTTCGCTCCGTACGTCTACAAATGAGAAACCTTTGTCTAAAGGATTCTTGGTAACAACACCTGTTCTTCCTGGTTTTCATATATATTCCCATGGAAGTAGTGCTGACTGCAGATTTTTAGCTGTCTCTGTAGAAAAACAATATAGAGATGGGGTGACCTAAGCTGTGCTTCCTGTTTGATCTGTACCTGGCAGCTGTACAGAACGGTAGCATACAGACTGCAATTTATGGAGCAAAGCCACGTGAGGAACCTTGTTTGAGTCATGAGAAACTATTTGAGATTAAGAGGAAAATGATTCAACAGGCATGAGATTTTCTATTCGTATATGCAGTGCAGCATTCCTTGGAAGGATGACAGGATCTAATGCCTTGAAAACGTTACGTAAAATTGCACGTGGGGCTTGTAATGAATAAATTGTTCTTGCCACTAAGAGAAATGAGGAGCGAATGCCATTGTTGAGCTTTTTTAACCTGCTCATGGTGACTAGTATAAACTGCAGGTGCCCTTTACAGAATCCGGACGGAGGTTATTACAGGAAAAGAGAGTTGCAGAGAGTCTCTTTGTTGGGGCTGCCAGCCTGTTGTCTTCAGCTGTATGACCCGTGTCCGTTTGCTTATGCGGTGGCTGATGGCAAACAGGAGGAAAATAGCGCAGGTAGTTGAGAAACAGATTTGCAGACCTTGTCCTGACCAGACCGCTTCTACCTGGTGGTAATTCCAGTAATTTCATGGGTAATAGACATTGCTACCCGGAGAGGTAAGAATTACATCTGAGGTCTTCTGCAATAGTCCACTCTGGATAGCAGAGTCTAAGGTAACAAAGCAAAGCTGTTCCTGTTCTGTGAGAGATGAGTGAAGCCACAGAAGGTGATTATGGAGAGGGGATATAATTTAAGGGAGGAAATTGTGACTAAGATTATGTGTTCTAACCCAGTTCTGTGATCTTAAAACTTGATCGATTTATTTGATCTGTCCCTTATTTTCCCCTCATGAGAGGAAAGTTTTATTTATGCTTGTGTAATATTTTGAGCATGTCTTGCGTGCCACATTTACTTGTATTTCTTGCCTGTACTGTATCCAAAAATACAGTGCTGTTCCCTGGTATTCACACCAGGTCAGAAGTGTAAAGAGGTGCCCTACCCTCTTGTATCTTTGCCTCATTGAGGTATCTGGACAGACCATCAGTGCTGCATAAAAATAAATTTATTACTTCATACTGGATGAGGTAGAAGTCAATAGTAACCACAGAATTGTGATCCCACGGGACCACAGAATTAGAAGAATATATTATTATGCACAAGTGCAAACAACCTTATTTCTGGTTGCGTCAGTTGAAGAGGTTACCTTTATGCTATAATAGTGTTTGAACGCTAAGTTGTATTCTTACATTTAGCAGCAAGTGGAACAAAGGGAACATGCAGCACTCGGAGAGCAGCCGCAGCAGCGATGAACAGAGTACCCGGGTAAAACTCGCCACACGTGAGAGAAAGGGCTGCCTCCCGCAACAGGGTGGTGTTCTGTGCGTGAGGGAGTCCTTAGGAGAGCATACTCTGTCCTTAGCTTCAGCTCTTTGTTCACAAAAGTGCTTTGGAAAGCCGGGCTGAACCCAGTCCACCCACGGTAAAAGCTGTGCTTGCTGGCACAGTGGGCCGCAGGCAGCTCCTGCGGGCACGACGGGGTAATGCCCGCCCGTCGGCAGAGGCCGGATGGCAAATGCAGCTTTGATTCCTCTCGGATAGAAAAGCAAACTGAACCGTGTTGAACGTGCTGAGTAAGTGCTCCAAGGGGTGGGCTTTTGTATTGCGTGGGGACCTTCGTACCAGGGCGGTGTTCGTCACAGACCACCGGGCTGAGCCCCAGCCAGCGCCTGTGTAGTGAGCGCAGTCTAACTGATAATCTGAGTGCACACCAGCACAGCCGGTTGCCAGCGTGCTTGCTAGTCGTGAAATGGAGATGAAGTTACGAATACTCGGAGCACTTAAATTCCTGGGAAAATTTTCATTCACATGCTGCAGCACTAACCACTTACCCAGCTGGGTGCTGGTTAAGCATGGGTGGTAGGCTCACAGCATCTGAAGTAGGCATATAAATTGCATCTTAGTTCCCCTTTGGAATGTGCTAACTTCTTTCTTTGCCCATGATCCAGGCTATCCTGGTGATTTTAGGCTGTAGAGGAAGCCATAAGAAGCCTGCAGGGATCTTTTTAGGATCGTTTCTTGGAGATTAGGCCAGATTATGGGAAAAGAAAGGTGGTTCGCGGTTCTTTATTTCCATTCCCACGTCTGTCAGAATAACCTGCAAAGGGAGGAAAATGGTGTTCAGCCTTTATAACAAAGGCTCCGAATGTAAATTGAAACTAGTCAACCTAAAATGTGAGGCCTCGCAAGCGCTGCCCTGTTATATGAATTGTCCTTGTACGAAGTGTCGTAGGCCCTGCCAGCAGCATTGTCATCGAGGAGGCTGTGCACAGCAGCAGTGACCCACCCGTCGGCTCGGACAGCCCTGTCACTGTACCCCTGGCCGAGGAAAAAGATGTTCAGTCTGTTGCCTGTGTCCCGTTGGGTATGTACGAGGAAGGTGGCTGCTGCCCGGGGAGGAGGAGGGAGTCTCTGCCAGCCCCGCCGGGCGGCCCTGTCTGGCGCTAGGCCCGTGGCGAGGCTGGGGACGTGGGTGCCCTGCAGAGGCCATGGCCGTTCCTACAGCAGCAGGCTTCCTACCTGAAATAGCTGGGCCAGGCAGACGAGGAGTGGAGGGTACCTGCTAATCCTACCTCATAAGGGTATTCAGGGGCAAAGCGTAACTAAAATAATCCAAGTGGAAGAATGCAGTGTAAAACAGCCCAGAGAAACTTCTTGTCAGTGAACAGCCGGCTCTTTTTTTGCTAAATTTAATAATGCCTTTCAACCAGGAAAAACATTGACCACATTAAGAGTCTCTAATGTGGCTGTGACAGAAGGAAGACTGACGGCACAAGGAAGTCAGCTGGAACACCACCACAATTTACACAAGGCCAAAGGATACGTCTGGGAAATAACTGATGTAATTTCACAGACCATGAAACATGCATTATATGTTTAGTAGAATATAGCAGAATGGACTAAGCAGGCCCCAAAAAACATAGCAGAAGTGGTAGAAAATAATATAAAGAATGGGATGGCAAGTGTAGCTTGGGGAAGATGAGATAGCTCTAGCAATACAGAGCTTCCCTTGGGCACTTCCATCCCACATGGAGTAATTTTTTTCTTTGGAAAATACACTCTGGACTTAAGTATCTGATGCATAGTTCTTGTCTCACTGAGCAGTTTCTCTGCTTTCAGAACTGACATGGAACAGTGATATCAACCAACCCTATGCAGGGCTAAGAAAAGGCAGAGAAATTTTTTCTAGCAGGGATAATTATTAATACCCACAGGAAAGAAAAAGTCACAGAACAAAGCAAGGTTCCTGTATCATGTTTGTAACATATACATATAAATATGAAGTATCTAGTATCAAATATTCTTTGTAACACAGAAAAAAACCCAAAAGATAGCAGTGTTAAATTATAAAAGAACTCTACATTCTGATGTGCTATACCTGCAC